CTCAAACACAATCGTACCCTTCCTGTGTTTTCATTAATGCCAGCTTTACTATCTGTGTCATAATGCCAACTGCTTTATCTGTGTTATAATGCCAGCTGTACTATCTGTGTCATAATACCAGCTGCACTTTTTGTCATAATGCCAGCTGTACAATCTGTGTCATAATGCCAGCAGTAGCATCTGTGTCATAATGCCAGCTGCTTTATCTGTGTCATAATGCCAGCTGCACTATCTGTGTCACAATGCCAACTGTACTATCTGTGTCATAATGCCAGCTGCACTTGTATGGTTGTCATAAATGTCAAACTAGCTTTATCCCCCTGGTGTCATCAATGCCAGCTGTATATCTAATTGCAAATTATATAGCCTTTTACTACTTATTGTGTCATAAAATGCCAACTGCCCATATTATTTCTATCTTCACCAATGCCAAGGCTTACTATCACTGTGTCAAATTATATCAGCTGTTACTATCTTGATCTCATTAAAATTCCACTGTAACACTATAATGTCCAATCAATGTCAGCTGTAGCTATTGTTATAATTCCAGCTTGGGGAACTGTTTGTGTCATAATGCCCAGCTGTTATATCTGTTATATCCAGCTGTTAGCTTGTGTCTAATGCCAGCTTGCTTTATCTGGTTATAATGCCATCTGTACATCTGTGTTAATGTCGCTGGCCCTATTTGTGTGATAGTAGAATGAAATGAATTTTTTTTTTCAGTTTTAGAACATATATTTTGATAATGAAATTACTGAAGGTCTTATAATGCACTGTCCCATTATTAAAATCATAAGGGAGACTATTAAGTTCATTATGTAAAGTTAGTTGGAGTAAGGTTTTAAAGTATAATTGTTCTGTCTCAAGAGTTGAGGGATTTTGGAATATTTAAATCATAAATCCATTGGGATTATAGGATTTACTCATGACAAACACAACGAAAACATTTTCCAGGAAATTTCATCCATTTTTTGGATTCAAGACATTTTGTTGATGATTTTGCAGAAATTCAAATATTAATTGCCATATTATATGCCTTAGTTTTATGCAATGGAATATGGACAATATTGGAAGAAAATAATTAGTTTTATACATAATTAAGTCACTTAAAGCTCTAAAGGCCTTGTATATCATATAAGAGGATCAAAAGATCTGTTATTTAAACATCATTTTCAGGAATAAACTTTAGTTAGGCATTATTTTTTTTATGAAATTTTGTTGTTTTTTTTCTCCATAAATTGTTCTGTAGAGGACTTGGTTAAGTCAATATGGAGACTTATAGACCCAGTTGAAAATAATACTGACCAGAATGGTCAATATCACTGTCAGGGAGGTTGTGTAATTATAGATTTTTATCTTATCATTGGTCATCATTATTATATTTTTCAAATAAGATATATTACCCGCTACTTATCAATAAATCTGTACAATTGTGAAGATTTTATATATTTAATCACACCTTATTTCAATATTCAAATTATAGTCTTTAATCATATAGACGATAGATTTTAATAAATTATGTCATCTGGGTCAATCAACATATATGAAGCCCAGGGTTCAAATTATGCAAAATTCATAATAATATTATCTTTAATCATTATAGGACAAGTTAGATAATTTAATAATTATGTCATTGGTCAGCCAACAGTATAGAGCTTGTTCAGACTCAGTACAGGGGTTCAAGCTAGGCTGGCTTACCACTTTCTGTTGGACTTTTCGGCAGGGTATTAAGGCCATTAAATTTAAGAACTATTCATTATTGATTAAAGGAATTTCAGTAACACAATTTAAAATAAAAGCTATTTCAAACATTGTAGAACTTCCATGTGAGACTGTGTGAATGTGCAGACAAGTTGTGTGTTCTTTTCTAGGTCAATGAATACAGGAAATAGATCTTGATATCCAGTATGGCTTGAAAGTACAATCTTTGGATTAAGAAGCCTTCTCTAATACTTGATCAATATTAATATTGTAATTATTGATATTTTCTATTGATTTTTTTTCTGCGACACAATAATTATTACAGGGATATCACACTTTTGGCGCTTCTTAGATTTATTTGCATTATGTCTTATTTTCTAAGGCTTTACAAAATATATACTTATGTAGGCTTGTCAATGAGTCTGTAATAATATGTGTTATATAAAAGTTGGCATTAGACATCAGAAAGTGAGGAATTTATAATATTGACTTAATCGAAGGCCATGAATTATAGAGACCCAGTTTGTAGACATTTCTAAGATGCTAACAGGAAGTTTTACCCGACATTGATTTTATCATTGATTCCTTGTCAAACACTTGAGAGCCAATGAAATCGTGTGGGAGTACGTTATATCATTCCAATAATGTGAGATTATATGTAAAAAGTTCGGAAAATTGGGAAAATTTATTGAATCATGACAGAGCCAATAATCGTGTACATGATACCTGTTTCTAACCGTAAGTATTTGACGAAGATCGATTTTTATAGATTTTATGAATACATGTGAATATCGATGTTATGAATTCCGATGCATAAATATTGTGTGAAGTCTCAGCTGATATTTTGTTATGTAATGGGAAAGCACTAATTGCATGGATGCTGTTGGAATTATTAAATATTAATGATGGCAGGGAAGCATGAAATTTGATAACAATTGTTGTTTCTGTGATGCTGGCAAAACAACATGAATTTGTAGTTTTAGCTTGTGTGCATAATGCATTTAAACAGATGTGTATTCAAGCTGCCTGCAGGTTTTCTTAGATAAATTGGAGACTGGGTGAAAATGTAGAGAGCATTTCAACATTTCATAGGGTCGATTGGTGTGTGCCAGTCACACTAAGTTAATGCCTCAAGTTTAGAATCAGGCCAACAGTTTCTGTCCGGCTGTTTAATATTATAAGTTTTAACTTAATATTGTGGAAAGTTAAAAAAAATCAGACTCGGAGCACGACAATTTAAGTCCATGTTATACATTTTGCAAAATCTATAATATGAGGATATGTGTCCATTTGTAACATACATTTAGCAGATTAAAGACCAGCTTTTAACACACATTTAACAGAATAAGGACTTGTCCATAACACACATTTAGCATAATGAGGACAAGCCCATAACATACATTTAGCAGAATAAAAGGTTAATAGTCTCAGGTTTACAGCAGTGAAAGAAGGAACGTTTTCTAGTATTGATTTAACATTATATAGATTTTACTGTAAAAGTACAATATCTGTTATTCTCAGATGAAATTATTGTGTCTGTAAAGTATGGTAACCGTTCCCAGTACTAAATTCATATATAATTAACTAATCCTACTTTGACTTTGTAACTTTCCATTGTTATATTTAGGGATTTCCATGTAAAATATATATATATCAAATTTAGTTTATACAAATTTACTTTAGTTTGATTGTGTTCGGAAGCTATATGCATATTAAAACACTCTCAAATCCGTTCCTGGAACCAACCAGTAAGTAAGCAATAAATGTAAAGTTTCTTGCTCAAGGAAACAAGAGCTTGCCCCTGACAGCGTTTGAACCCAAACGGTCAGCAATCCTTAGATCCTAGTTAAACACTCAGCCACGCTGCCACCAACAAATTAAGTAGCCAAAAAAAGGTCTCAGAATAATTAATTTGCAAGTGAATTTAGTGGTCAGACTTTATACCTTTGGATAGTACTTCATTCTGTTGACATTATTGTTGTGAAAATAAGGATCAAGAATTAAAAGCATGTTGTGAAAGTAACTTTTAAAGAACTATTTTCAATATTAACTGAATTTTTACAAGCTCTGTTAAAAAAATCTACAAGTTTTATGCCATGCCACTGGGTTTAAATACTAATTTTGATCCTTGGCATTATGGGAAAGTCATTATATTGCTGCTTATAAATGTATTATGCATTTAAAGACTAAATCAATATGTGTATTGTTAAATGGTTTTTGAATTTTTTAAGCCATTTTTGCTCTCTTGTTCACTGATTCTTATGTTTTGATTTGTCAGAAGTCATACTCAGGTATGGCATCGAAAATTATTTTCAGAGTGACACTCGCCCTGCAGGAGGAGTAGTTTCTAAGTCTTATGTGCTGGCAACATTTTTCTACTCTTCATGCATTGAATTCTCTTAAATTCTACTCGTAATTACATGTACGAGCGGACAAGTGGAATTTTCGATCTCTGATTAAGAGAAGTAATGTCTGTCTGTCAAAGTTCTGAAATTCAGCTTATTCTGTTATTCTTACTTTAATATAGAAATGGTATTTACAAATCTTCGATGATTGAATTTGCATGTATAATTATGCACAAATGTATATATTTCCCAGAACGGTAGAAAAATATTGCCTCGGAATAATTAAGATGGATAGGATGAGCTTGCATTATTTTGGTATGCAAATTTGTAAACGTGATCCAGGACAGTGAAATGTATTGATAATTAGACTGGACTCATTTGTTTCTGCCCCATCGCAACCATTGGCAGTGTCTCTATTATAACTTACTATCGGTCCCTCATGCATTTATATTACTTAAGATCCGTACCTCAATGCATACAGATGTGGTACTCGGCTCTGTTTTATTGACAACGTATCTCTTACATAAGGATTGACGCAATACATTAGCTAATTGAATAACTGTCTAAGAAAAAAATAGAAGGTTTCCTATTGCCTTAATGTGGTAGATTAGAATAATGACATACACACAATCCTGTTTGTAGTGACCATCTAGAGAGGTCACTTATTAGAAATATTTCACTCCTTGTTTTCTTTTTTTTGAGGAATATATATTTTGGGTTGCATATGATTATACACTGAACAGGAGTAAAATATGAAAGTCATAGCTCAATAAAATAAATTAATGTTTGATAATGAGGAAAAAGTGGAAATAGTCCATTTCTTAGTAGAAATAAATGCGTATTCATACGTATGAAGCTTTTGAAGTCCAAAACTTGTGTGTTTTTAGAGAGAACAAACCAATAATTTGAGGCATTTTCTAACATCTGTATTACATAAATTTTGTTATATTTCAGAATATCAGCCAATGCCTAGTGCATTAGGCTCCGAGACGACAGAAGAAGTACAACCTCAAAATGAAAGAATCATCTACATTAACTCCTCACAACCTGGCAAATACTGCTCAAATAAAATCTGGTATGTAATAACTATTCCTATTCACCCAAACCAAAATCGCAAGCTAACATTGCAAGCTTGTCACAAGCTTGCTGCAAGCTTAAGTTGCAAGCTTGCTACTGGCTAGTAATTGGAACCTTGCGGCAAGCTTGCGATCAGTTATTTAAAAAAAATCTGACTGCAAACTAGTTAATATTTAAGCTTGCGCAAGCTTAATCGCAAGCTTGCGCAAGCTTAATCGCAAGCTTGCGCAAGCTTAATCGTAAGCTTGCGCAAGCTTATTTGCAAGCTTGCGCAGGTTTATCTGCAAGCCTGCACAGGCTAAGTCGCAAGCTTGTGCATGTATAACTACAAGCTTAATGTATAAGCTTGCGCAAGCTTAATCGCAGGCTTGCAAAAACTGTAAACCCTATTTGGAAAGGGAGCTGCTACGTATAACAGTCTCTGAATCTTATATAACATGCAAAAAAAAAAGGCATTAATTACCATGATAAACTTATTTAATCATAAATTGTAAAAAGAAGCTTGATGTTAAATTTTTCATATACTAATGTTTTTCTTCCAATTACCATGGTAAATAGTCCAGCCTTGAGGGAATGACATTGAAAAAATCCAGCCTAATTCCAGCATCCCTGAATGTTCTTAAAAATGTAAAATTTCTGGGATGGAATTCAGCACAGGAAGTTTGGGGTAGAATCTTATGAGTTTAACATGATCACATATTTCTTTCACAAAATTTAATACATATCCTTTAGTCCAAATACAGAATAGAACAGCCTACTTCACTATAACACAAACAGTTTTTTTCTAGCTGCAGGTTTTGGTAGGTTCTTGTTTTCTCTTAGAATCCAACACTTTGTTTTAAGCAATTATTTTGCTCTTAGTCTGTCAGTGACAAACTATTCAATCTTAAATTTGTTTTAAATGTTTCTGATTATTTAAATTACTATTTCTTTTATCGGTGTCCATTTTTAGTCCTCTGCCAGTGTTTCCTAGAACTTCTTATGGTTGTGCTGACCTTTAAAGATAAAATTCATAATTAATTAAATACAGATGCAGTAATGAACTATGTTTTATTGCATAAATGCAGTTATATTACATATCTTTTAATAACATCGAATCTAATGTTTCAACAGTATTAACTATTAAATATTAACTATGCTTATGCATTTTCAAAAAATACTAAAGCAATGCAGTATATCTTATTTCAATGTGCACAAATGTTTAATTTGTAAGAATTTGTAAGAATTTCTCTGTATGAGAATTAAGTAAATTTGTGACAATATTTATTACCCAGTATGTATTTTTTCAAGAAAAGATGTGGAATAGAAAAGTATTGAGATTTAATAATATACCTTTTCAGGATTAATACTGCACATCATTATTAAACACTGCCGCTATTTCTCACAGTCAGCACTTATGTCCCAGCCTGCAAATTATTTATGTATAATATAATTTAGATTGTTCCATTGAAAACAACAACACATACATGTAAAATAACACAATGATTATGATTGACCCTGTTCAGCTGTACAACTTAACTACTGATTGTACCATTTAGTTCTATTTAATCAAATTGATTTAATTTGTTTAATTTGCAGGAAAATGAAAAAGATCTACTAACATGCCATTTAAACAAATATAAACAATCATTAAAAAGAAATCATTGAATAATTTATATTTTACAGATTATACATGTATAGATTAAAAAGAATTATCAGAAAAACAAATGCATGAAGTTGAAAATATAAAAACAAACTTGATCTCTTGTTACAAATGTTAATAATTTGATATATAACCTGTTTCTGCATTTAATTTAATGTAACTTAAGGTTTATAAATACCTGATTCTGTTGTATATCTCCTTGTCCCAGGTGATTCTGATTGTTATCATACCAATACTTAATAAACACTTTAAATGTTAAACAAAACAATATCTCCAAAACTGCTGAAATATCAAGTACATCCTCTGCTCTCTTTGCTGACCCAGATATCTTAGAATTCAAATTTTACAACAGTTACTGTATAACTGGACAGGTCTATCATTATGTAAAGCAGGGTTAATCTTCTCAACATTTTACTTTCATTCTTTGAGCGTAAAAGAAAATATCAAAGCTAATAGATATATAGGATTTTAAAAAATCATTACAAATTTTTGTACAAAAAGATTGCAATGTCCTTCTAGACACATTCTGCATATGAAATTTATAATGTTATCTCTCCCCAAAAATAATCACATGGAACAGCCTGATCTGTCGGAATGACCAGGAGTAAATTAGTCATGCACAGATGGTCAATGAATTTATATCAAGGCTCTGATGTGTGTAGAGTAAAATCTCAGTGGATGTAGTATTTATTTCCTAAATAAAAGCAATATATATTGATTAATTTAATATAGAATATATATGAGATTATTTCATGCACTGTTTTTGTTTTGTTTATTTATTTATTTATTGTTATCCAAAAACATGAATTCTTAGAATTTAAAAATGGCAAAGCAATGCAATCCCATCTTGATTATTATAGTGTCTGAATGATTGAATCACAGACTTTAATTAATTTATAGTTAAACTTAAAGCCTGTAATTAAATGGATATTATTTCATTGTACATAACTTCATGTAGATTTATTGAAAATAATAATATGTATTTAACAATCAATTCATTTTACTTCTTTTGCACAGACATTTTTTTGAGATACCCTTTTCCAACTACATGAAATGTATAAAGTGTCAAATTTCAAATCATTTACAGTAACTTGCATTAAATAGATGATGATTTTATATTTTCTTCGTAAATTTACAATACTGAGCTGAATATATAAAATAACTAATAACTAATAATAAACTTTAGCGTGGTAATCTAGTTTAAACTAGTTAATTATCACTGATACTATCATTTTTGGAATTTTTTTTTTAATGTGTACACTTTTGACAAAAATTTTCTAAGTGTTTCAATTACTTTAACAAGAAATTTCTAAGTGTAGATTTTGTACAAAATTTTCTAAAGTGTCTACTAAATTGCAAGCTTGCGGGCATTGCAAGCTTAAATCAAATGTTTGCAAGCTTGCATGAATTTAAACAAGCTTGCAATATATTTTAAAAGTCATCGCAAGCTTGCGCAAGCTTGTTGCAAGCATGCAGCAACCTTGTATTTAAGCTGTAAGCTTGCGGCAAGCTTGTGACAAGCTTGCGGCAAGCTTGTCGCAGGCATGCATTTTGGTTTGGGCAGTGAAAGTTTATTTCTTCCTTACTCTGCTGTATGGAAAGTATCCAACCTATGCCTCCAGCATTATAAGAGTTGCAGGCCTAAGCCTGTACATCCCTGATGTCTGACCAGGTTCTATACTGTTGGCTGACCAAATTTTTATCTTGATACCCCCATAATTGATAATGGACAGTTCCAGAAGAAGAAGCTGGACAAACCCATTCTGCACATTCTGCTTCAGGAATGATCAATCCATCAATTATAATTCTTTTAAATGTCAAGCATGTATTTAATAATGGAGCATATTTGATGTTTATCAACTGAATAAAGTGGCACCGAACATTCAGTAATGTGTCGTAAGGTAGCAAAATGTAAACTTCCATACAAAATACTAATTTACAATAATTAGAAAATGTGACCAATTGCCCATGCACAGAGCAAAAGATAGTTCACATAATTATGTGATAAATGAGTATTTTTTTCATCTGTACCAAGATACCAAAAATAATAATTTTTTGTAAAATAAAAAAGATGACTCTCTGAGGCATAATGGGCCATTAAAGAGATTCAACAGGTTAAGGGTTGAATTCTTCCTGTTTAGCCAAGTGGTCGAGGTATTTTGGTTATCATTGGGTTTAAATAAGTTTTATCTGGAAACTTGAAATCTTCATGTGAGGGAGATTAACGAGTTAAGTTACAGAAGCTTGTAGGTGGTTCTACTCACCCCTGGAAAGATGAAATGTCAACTGTTACCTTGATGATGATGATGATGATGATGATGATGATGATGATGATGATGTCAATGAGGAAACCCATTGATTGAACCCAACAACTTTTCTTTTATAATTTCTTCGATTAATTTTAGATTCAGAACTTGAAGGCGACTCTTGAAGCCAGTTTCAGGCTTTGGGAATATATACCTATTAAACCTACATTAAATCAAAACCAATAGCAAATAGAAAATGAAAGCTGTATCACATTTGAAGCAGACGACAAATTTTACAGCATTATTTTCCCATTCTAGGAAAGTGATATTTTTGTTTGATCAGGACGTTATATTTGCAGATTTTTGTCAATTACGGTCCGCAGCTTATCAGATGACAATATTTGATTTCATTTAATTGTTTGTGTTCCATTTGTATTGACAGAACACTTCACAACATGCTCAGAAATTCTTTGGGCAAGTTTTTCTGCGTGGATCCATTGGAAAGTCAAAGTTGATAAATAAATCTATAAGGAAGTGTTTTTCTCTCAATCCTGGGGTCGTAGATTCCATGCCACAGTCTCGACATAAACTAACAATGCAAATGGCCTTTTCGCTGAGTTTCTTTGTATCAGTGCTCTATACGAGGCATATAAAAGAACAAGTTGCTCGGTTGCAGGTTTGATGCTGTGCTCCATCACTATCAATACCAATGGTCATTCTAGTGAGACTCTATAACTGTGGTCTGTTTTGCCAATGTTCTACACCAGTCATGTAAAAGTCCAACCAGAGTCACCTCTGGAATGGGGCAACTGCTGTATCCAAATACTGCCATGAAAATATTTACTGTTAAGGAGTTTAGCAGATGAGGGCAACCAAATTGCAATACTAAATAAACCAAAAGAAGAAGAAAAAAAGAAACTTGCTTGGGATTTAGGAAAGAAAAATGTCACTGTAGGACTGTGTTGGCTTAAAAGTATTTGTTTAGTTTAAAACTCAATCAATAAAGAAGTGGGGTAAATTTACGAAATTATAGAATCTTTGTAGTATTCTGTTGAAGGGTTAAAAAAAGGTCCATAAAGTCTCTGTGTTTAACACAACTTTAATATAACTGAATGAACAATCCACTTGTTAAGTTGAAGAGTTAAGTCAACAGCTGTTAATTTTTACACCAATAAGGAATTTTGAATAAACTTGATGTGAATATGTTAAGTTTTAATATCATTACATACTTAATGGCCATGTATAATATTATAGTCGACTATAATATCATAATATACATGATGATCAAGTATTAATCATTGAAACAGTCAGGGATGACAAGAGGGGCACCTTTCATTTTTTCTCCTGCACTGAAGATTGAAAGGAGCAAAATGAAATCAGAATCATCTTAAAACAAAACAAAAAAAATACAAATAAAAAAATATCTCTTGCTGTGGCAAATTACCTGATTAGTTTTGTGTGTATTGAAAAAGTCTTGCAGGTATATGTCAAGCTTTTCTATGAGCTGTTACACTTTGATCATTGCAACCTTGGAGATTTTATCACTGTAGGAAAATTGATTAAATTTTTGTTTGCCTTTACATTCACTTATTACAAAAATTCCATATTCTTTTTGTTGTTTGATACTTGCAAAAGCTAATTTCTTCAACATATACAGCAGTCTTTCTTAATCTCTGGGGGGGGGGGGGGGGGTATAGATTAGGATTTGGTGCATGGAATAGAATTGTAAATGTTATGAGATTACTGTCAAGCCTGTGAAAAAAGGCCATACAAAGGGGAGACCATTCACAACATGACCTTTAAAGACAAGTGGTCTTTATTTGGAGGTTACTGTGTTCTGTTTAATCAATGAAGGGTGGTCAAGGAATGGCCTTTATTTATAGTGTAATCTTTATTTGGAGATGGTCTTTAACACAGGTTTTGCTGTACATAGTTTGTAATTTTGTATAGTGTTCCATTTCTACATTACAAAAGGATTGTTTGCATTCATGGAATGGATGCACAAACTCTTGATTATTGCAATCTTATGGCAATTTCAAGGCTTTCTAAAAAATAAAATAAAATATATATGCTTTTTCTTTGTATTTTCAGCACAGCCAAGTACAGCTTGATATCATTTTTGCCGAAATTCTTGTTTGAACAGTTCAGAAGATATGCCAACATTTTTTTCCTGTTCATAGCATTACTACAGGTAAGTTTAGGACCTGGGACTGTGGTGGCAGAATGTTAGGACTATAGCTTGTGGCATGAAAGCTTGATGCTTATTTGAAGATTTGAACAAATGCAATGATTTATTTTCTGGTCTAACTAGTACTGGTGTAAGTAACATGGCTGTGATCACAATAGGATCATGCCTTGGGAGAATCGTAAAATTAAACCTTAGGTCCTATGATTTCTGGTTTAAGTGGCAGACACTTTAATCAATAGAAAAACACATTGGTGGTTAAACAGGACTCAAACCTAAAGCCTCATGGTGGAGAGACAATTACCTTAACCACAAGGCCACGTCTCCAGTGGTTTAGATTGCTGAATTTGAATAATTTGCCACACATAACTTTATTTCATGGACATTTATTACTGTTATGTAGCACATATCCAGCACCTGAATTTTGGTATAAAAAAGTTAATTCTTAATACCTTTAACAAACTTTGAACATTTTGTACTTAAAAAACTAGCTTGCTTTCAGATATAGGCAACATTATGGGTAATTTTGCAGCAAAATTATTAAGGAAAATGAAAGAATGTCTGTTCTACTGGGCATGAATAGTAATAACTACTAATAAGGTTATAACTTAATAAAGTCTGTAATCAAGGACATAATAATAACAATACAATAATATGGACAGCCTATAATAATTTGTTCCTGTCTTCTTCATAAATTGTTACTTGACGCTAAATTTGGTCTGTCATTTATGATAATCAATTTTCTAAATTGGAAACTTCGCCTTAATTGATCTTTGTGACATCAGAAAATTGTTTGACATTTCAGCAAATTCCGAAGGTTTCACCTACAGGAAGGTACACTACAGCTGTTCCATTGTTATTTATCCTCTCTGTATCCGCCATTAAAGAAATCATCGAAGATTATGTAAGTGAACTCTTGTGCAATATCCAGAAAGGTCTGCCCATTTAGATTATTAGAGAGAGAGCATTGAATTTGAGCCGTGTCACAACAAAACCAACATAATGGATTTGCGACCAGCATGGATCCAGACCAGCCTGCGCATCCGCGCAGTCTGATCAGGATCCATGCTGTTCGCTATCAGTTTCTCTACTTGTTATATGGTCTGTAAGCGAACAGCATGGATCCTGATCAGACTGCGCAGATGCGCAGGCTGGTCTGGATCCATGCTGTTCGCTATCAGTTTCTCTACTTGTTATAGGGTCTGTAAGCGAATAGCATGGATCCTGATCAGACTGCGCAGATGCGCAAACCCCTTATGTTGGTTTTGTCGTGATGTGGCTCATTTGTTATGAAGGGGTCGGTGTATAAATTGCCAGACAAGGCGAAGTTTTTTTTGATAATTGATCTCGGACATATAGAGTCTAATGGTCATATGTTTCTCACTGCTGATTTAGAAATTAAGTAGGATTAGTAGTCTGTTTCTTGCTAAGATATTGGTAATTGATGTTAAGTTATCCTGGAAAGCCGGTGAGGAGGAACAACGGCTGAGATATCACCAAAATAAGTTAAAATGAGCATAAAAATCCATAACAAATGTACAGATGTGAAAGACTGATAGCCAAGGTAAGACCAAAAATGGGTTAAAATTGGCATAAAAACCCATAACAAATATACAGATACGAAAGAGTCAATTACAATGTACCTGCTAGTATGATGGTATTAGACTATTTCCTGTGGTCGGCTATTTATTTTTTATATAAAATGAATGCAAATAGTGTTTTTTTCTGTGATCTTATCAATGTGATTTTAAACTGGTATTACTATAAGCACAAGTCTTTGTAGCAAAGTGTAATGTGTAGTCTCACTATCAGAAACAAACTTGTATATTTTCTAACAATGATTGTAAAATTTCTCTCTTTCACTGGTTCTTATAATTGATGTAAAAAATAATGGCAATTATCCGTCATAAAACAGCTTTTACCAGCATTGATTCTTTGAAATTTTGCATGCCAGCCTGCAACATTTTCAACGTTGCCATTTTGGCCTTCTTCAGAGATTCTGTTCTTTTTCTCTATTTTCTTACTATATTGTGTTTATACATATTTAAACTGGAGGGAGTTTGAACTTTTATGACTGGAGTGTTAATGATGAAATTGGCTTATTTAGTTTCATTTTATGACTTTTATTTTACAGAAAAGACATAGAGCAGATGACACAGTTAATAATAGAAAAGTTTTAGGTAAGTTTTGTCATGCCTGAATCATTATATTGCCTAGAGAAAGATAACTGGTTGCAAACTAATGAGCATCAGTTTTATATACCATGAACTATTTGTATGTAGATGGCTCTCTAGGATTTTACACAAATGAGCCGCGTCATGACAAAACCAACATGATGTGTTTGCGACCAGCATGGATCCAGACCAGCCTGCACATCCGCGCAGTCTGATCAGGATCCATGCTCCTATAAACAAGTAAAGAAACTGATAGCGAACAGCACGGATCCTGATCAGACTGCGCGGACCCGCAGGCTGGTCTGGATCCATGCTGGTCGCAAACACATTATGTTAGTTTTTGTTGTGGCGCGGCTTAAATGGAGAAAGCTCAGTGCTTCTGTGCCTTATAACATCCTCGCCTAGTAAAATCCACTAAAGTCAAATACAAGTTTTAGATCAAGATACTTGTATATTAACCCTATTGTTACTGTAATTTGTTTAAAGCATAGACAACTGTCTAGTAGTTTCTTATGTTAATTCTTTTGCATTTTTGGTGTGATGACTACAGGCATATGCCATCATCATGTCTCTGTAGTTGGAGCAGACTGGTTGACTATTTAATAGACTTGTGCATTTTGATTTGAATAAAGCCTCACATTAACAATGGGTAGTTTCCTACGGGAATGTTCTTTACACTGTTCATAGTCAGCTTTTAGCTCACCTGTCACAAAGTGACAGGGTGAGCTTTTGTGATCGCTTTTCGTCCGGCGTCCGTCCGTCTGTCTGTAAACTTTTGCTTTAAATGACATCTCATAAACCACTGAGCCAATTTCATCCAAACTTCACAGGAATGTTCCTTTGGTGGTCACCTTTAAAAATTGTTCAAAGAATTTAATTCCATGCAGAACTCTGGTTGCCATGGCAACCGAAAGAAAAATCTTTAAATATCTTCTTTTAAACAACCCTAAGAGCTAGAGCTTAGATATTTGGCATGAATCATCTTCTAACGAGTGTCTACCAAGTTCAAATAAAAGCCCTGGGGTCAAAATTGGCCCTGCCCCAGGGGGTCATAGATTTTCCCTATATGCATATAGTAAAAACTTAAAAAATCTTCTTTTAAAGATTCCAAAGAGCTAGAGCTAAGATATTTAGCATGAAACATCTTCTAGCGAGTGTCTACCAAGTTTGTTCAAATAAAAACCCTGGGGTCAAAATTGACCCCGCCTGGGGGGCCATTGATTTTCCCTATATGCATATAGTAAAAACTTAAAAAATCTTCTTTTAAAGAACCCAAAGAGCTAGAGCTAAGATATTTGGCATGAAACATGTTCTAATGGGTGTCTACCAAGTTTGTTCAAATAAAAGTCCTGAGGTCAAAATTGGCCCCGCCCCAGGGGGTCATAGATTTTCCCTATATGCATATAGTAAAAACTTAAAAAATCTTCTTTTAAAGAACCCAAAGAGCTAGAGCTAAGATATTTGGCATGAAACGTCTTCTAGTGAGTGTCTACCAAGTTTGTTCAAATAAAAGCCCTGGGGTTAAAATTGGCCCCGCCCCAGGGGGTCTTTGATTTTCCCTATATGCATATAGTAAAAACTTAAAAAATCTTCTTTTAAAGAACTGTAAGAGCTAGAGCTTAGATATTTGGCATGAAACATCTTCTAGTGAATGTCTACCAAGTTTGTTCAAATAAAAGCCCTGGGGTCAAAATTGGCCCCGCCCCAGGGTGTCATTGATTTTCCCTATATGCATATAGTAAAAACTTAAAAAATCTTCTTTTAAAGAACCCAAAGAGCTAGAGCTAAGATATTTAGCATGAAACATGTTCTAATGGGTGTCTACCAAGTGTGTTCAAATAAAAGCCCTAGGGTCAAAACTGGCCCCGCCCCAGGGGGTCATTGTTTTTCCTTATATGTGTAAAGCAAAAACTTAAAAATCTTCTTTGAAAAAACCCAAATAGCTAGAGTTTAGATATTAGGCATGAAACATCTTTAAGTTAATATCTACAAAGTTTGTTCAAATGAAAGCCCTGGGTCAAAACTGGCCCTGCCCCAGGGGTGTCATTGTTTTTAACTATAATTTATGTGTATAGTAAAAACTTAAAAAATCTTCTTTTAAAAAACCCAATGAGCTAGACCTTAGATGTTTAGCATAAAACATCTTCTTATGGGTGTCTACCAAGCCTGTTCAAATAAACAAATAAAAGCCCTTGGGTAAAAATTGGCCCGGGGGGGGGAGGGGGGGGGGCTATATACAGGTGAGCGACCTCAGGGCCATCATGGCCCTCTTGTCTTTTGTACTGGAGATTAGTAAATTGAGGATAGGATGTTTCTAAAACTGTCATGTTCTTGTTGTTTTTTTTATTTTGAATGCGTTTCTTTTGGACCGGAGATGAGTATGTTGAAGCTAGGATGTTTCTTGATTTATCTTGCTGTTTTTTTTCTATTTTGAATGCCTGTGCACATAAATCTTGGAGAGATTTGCTGAATGCCATTTAATGGGTTTTAAGATCATTTTGTCATGTTTTAATGGCAAGTAAAGTGTGCTAAGTAGATCAAGCTGCCAAGGTTTACAATATTTCTTGTTTTCAGCAGTGTTATTTAATGGGTTTTATTTGTAGTGCTCTTGAAGCTTGACAAATTCTGCATTTTCGTGGCTTTTTCAATATTTCTTGAAAGCTATATAAGGCTTCGAGAAAATTAAGGGAAATAGCAAAAAAGACAAAAAAGGAGAGAGAGCTAGAAATATTAAAATAAGAGTTAATGGTTAAATGTCAGACCTATAGTGAAAAAGTTTTATAACTTGTTGATGTCAAAAAAGAAATTCCCTTGTTTCTTTTATCGGTGATACTTTAGTGTGCCAGGGTTACGAGATAGGTGATCAGGAATTGGGTTGTGGTATTGTATTTGATCTATTTTGCAATATGTGTTAGAACCCAATACTTTTTGAAATTGGTAGAAATGTTTGATTTTTTTACTACTTCAATTTGATTATTTGCCCCCAGTCCCCACTACCCTACCTTGAAAATTATGTAAAAGTCTTTATCAAGAAGTGGACTGCAGCTTGTACTGAGAAAAGATTCAAGTAGTGTTGGCACAAAATCCAGAAAAATCTGAAAATGACCTGCTGTTGAATGACAGAAATTTGATTTGCCACTTCTCCCCCCCCCCATCCCCCCCAAAAAAAGAAAAGACAAAACAAACAAACAAACACCCCCTCAACAAAAAAATTAAACAACAGCAAAAGACAATAACAAATAAACTGTATACACATAATTTTATATTTTCAGTGTTACGGAATGGAGTGTGGCAGTCATTAAAATGGAAGCATATAGTTATAGGAGATATAGTCAAGATCATTAATGGACAGTTTTTTCCAGCTGATCTCATTCTTTTATCATCTAGGTAAGACTTGTTTTATTTGATCTAAACCATGCTGGTTTTACATAATGGATAACATCTGTTTTTATGCTCCCTGAATTTCTTCAGTAGACTTTACAAGCTCTGAATTTGGAACAGTTAATTTAAAGTTTAAGGGTTTTCAGTTTCACAAGTAAAAATAAGGGCTACCAATAGTGCAGAACATGGAAATGCAGGCTGGTCTGGCTTTCTATTGGTGCATTTTTTGGTTCAAGGAGACTAAGGGTTATCATAGAAATTCATATATGTATCTCCAGTTCATGGAACATATATACAGAGTTCATGGTCAATTGATTTTCACCTATAGATTCTATATTGCTTGAGTAGATAATCTTAGTTTGTGATGGCACTAGAGGCGGGAGTGATAAGTGAGGGCAGGTCTAGTTAACTTCATGTTTATATACCTCCTTATGTTTTTTGTAAAACCTTTCAAACTTGAAATCTATCAATTTAGTCAAAAGTTATCTTAATGTTTGTAAAACCATTTTTTAGCTCGACTATTCGATAAGAATAAGTAGAGCTATTGCAGTCACCCGAGCGTCGGCGTCGGCGTCGGCGTAACCACTTATGTTAAAGTTTTTGTAATAGTTCAAATATTTTCAAAGTCCATTGACATATGGCTTTGAAACTTTGCACACTTGTTCACCATCATGACCCCAACCTGTAGACAGGAGGAGGTAACTCTATCAAGCATTTTGACAGAATTATGCCCCTTTTTCGACTTAGAATTTACGTTAAAGTTTTTGTAATAGTTCAAATATTTTCAAAGTCCATTGACATATGGCTTTGAAACTTTGCACACTTGTTCACCATCATGACCCCAACCTGTAGACAGGAGGAGTAACTCTATCAAGTATTTTGACAGAATTATGCCCCTTTTTCGACTTAGAATTTTACGTTAAAGTTTTTGTAATAGTTCAAATATTTTCAAAGTCCATTGACATATGGCTTTGAAACTTTGCACACTTGTTCACCATCATGACCCCAACCTGTAGACAGGAGGAGGTAACTGTATCAAGCATTTTGACAGAATTATGCCCCTTTTTCGACTTAGAATTTACGTTAAAGTTTTTGTAATAGTTCAAATATTTTCAAAGTCCATTGACATATGGCTTTGAAACTTTGCACACTTGTTCACCATCATGACCCCAACCTGTAGACAGGAGGAGGTAACTCTATCAAGCATTTTGACAGAATTATGCCCCTTTTTCGACTTAGAATTTACGTTAAAGTTTTTGTAATAGTTCAAATATTTTCAAAGTCCATTGACATATGGCTTTGAAACTTTGCACACTTCTTCACCATCATGACCCCAACCTGTAAACAGGAGGAGGTAACTGTATCAGGCATTTTTTTTACTATCAAGCACTAAGAATAGTCGAGCATGCTGTCCTACCGACAGCTCTTGTTTTTTCACAAAGTTTATTTCAAGCAATTTCTAGACATTTAAATGTGGAATGAAAGTGTTTGCTGATATGACAGATTCATTTTGAGTCAATTTGATGCTTTAGAATGTCATACAGACATGAGTGGGACCAGTCCAGAGGGGCACCAGACTGTAGCAACAGAGTACTAAAATGTTATTTTATTTGTGTATTTTCAGTGAGCCACAGGCTATGTGTTATATAGAAACATCCAATTTAGATGGAGAAACAAATCTCAAAATCAGACAGGTATAACTCTCTACCTTTTGTTTAGATAGAAATCAATTTTATTAGCTGATTGGATTAGATTGAAATTCACAAAAAAAAACCAGAAAAAAATAACACATCTCAAAGGAAACTTTATCGATTTCATTCTCAAAATAGTAAATATAAAAAAAAAAAATACTGTACCCCACCTTATTTCTAAAGTAATGTGATCTTACTGTTCATCAATCTTGTTTTGTCTGGGCCTCTGACTATTTGATTATTTTCCAGACACCAACTATAAAATACATGTACCACATAAGGATTTTAAAAGAAACTTTACATGGAAGGAGACTGACAAAACTTGCCATTTAAGAGTGAAATAGTTTAGAAAATTTGTGCTGAGCCCAAAATATGTGAGGCTTAAGATTTGTGATATTTTACACAGAGTTACAGCCCATTTTACAATTATAGCTCTATGTATGCAACATATAGACATAAATTAATTTCATTAGCAACTGATTATGTGTAAGTAATGCTGTTAAAGGCTGAAGATGATTGTGTGATCTGAAATTTTTTTGCAGAGTTACGGCCTATTTTTCAATGCTCTATGTATGCAACATATTGGCATTTATTAATAACACCAGCAGCTGATGTTTTATGTGTAATGCTGTTACACTGAAATACCTTTCTTACTTGTATGGAGAAACAAAGAATCAGTCAATGTTGAAGACGGCTAGTAACAATAAGAAACCAGCCTTAATTCTAGCTGCAGTCACGTTTTTCTTTAAACATACTGCTGTGAAAAACTGACTTTTCTAAGAAAAAGAAATATTTGCTCGTGTTTCAGCCATTAATCATATTGTTCCTAATTAGAATTGTGTCTTCACAACATTTCTTTACTTGAATGTTGCTATTTTTCTGAATTCTGTATCAAAATTTTCACCTAATTACCACAGTGTTTCATTTTATATTGATTTTTATAAAAAGTAGCAAAAAAGGTTAAATGTTGGTTGCCACATTGTTGTTATTAGTTGGAGTGAAAGGGAAGGACAGAAATACTCTTGAAAGATGGTGATAGTTGTCTTGAATGCAATCAGCTTCAAATTCTAATTCTAAAATTTTTTAAGATGTATAGATTCTGTGACTAGTATTGACTCACAAATTTTAATCACACTGGCAAATGAATAGTGTTCAATTTTTGTTGTCTTAATGAAAATGAAAAAAAAAAACTTAATTAATTAAAATGCTGACAGTGTCTCAGTAGAGTAAAAAAAGGAAAATGGATGGTTTGACTGATTTCTAGCTGACCTATATTTTACATGTTTTAGGAAAAGTGAGAGCTGTTGTACTCACCCATGTGTCAGTGTCACACTTTGGTCAAGTTCTTGTATGCAAGTTTGTATCTCCAAAATGAGTGAAGGGCCATTACTCTATCAATCATTTTGACAGAAATAATGGCCCTTTTTGAACTTAGAAAATTCTACACATTATCCAGGCTCTTGTTGTACTGTCAGGCACATAGAACAGTCGAGAAAGCTCTGGAGTTTGAATTCCACCAAAGACTTTACAGTCTTTCATGTGAGGAATCAATCTGGCATGCTAATGGAAAGTTGGTTCATTCTTCTTAGGTGCTTGCTCATGCGAAGACCTGAGATCTCCCCCAAATAGGAAATTTGGGATGTGGCCTTAGAACCTAATATTAGTATCAGTGTGATGAAAAAACCAAACCATACAAATTATTATTCTTCTATATTTATTATATATAAACCAGAATATTCTACAGTTAGATATACTACTTGTGTTTCTATAATGACAGGGTTTACCCCAGACAGCAAAGCTGTTAAATAAAGAGGATCTGTCAGAATTAACAGGGACCATAGAATGTGAGCCGCCAAACAGACATTTACTGGACTTTGTGGGAAATATACGGCCATCTCGTAGACAGTAAGTGCCCAGCTATATAGAGAGACATTGTTTATATAGACCGTCTCAGATTTATTTTACAGACAATGTTCTGGATTTAGGTTAAGATCAAACTGTAACCATACCAATTTGACAATTTTGAAATACTTGCCATGTGATAAGTTTGGAACTGTTGATTGTACATGGTATGGATATTGATTTCAAAGTACTTAGAAATAAGAACCCAGTCTGACATATAATAATAATCATATATAATGATACATGATATATTATGACAACTGCAATTCAAAGCATATTATGACAACTACAATTGAAAGCATATTATGACAACTACAATTCAAAGCATTCAAAGGGTAAACAGATGGTTCTGTCTTAAGATAGTTAATTGTAAAGAACTCTCTTGTGGAAATATTTAACATAGAATATTTTAGGCACTGTTATATTTATCATGATGAGAACACTAAATATGTATGCCTTCAAACAATTACTAATCACCAAGTCCTCATTTATATCAATAAAAAGTAAATCTGAATCAAAGTGGTAAATAAAAGTTGCCTCCCTTGATTTTTGTTGTTATTTTAGAATTATCTCCCTTTATATTTTCAGGGCAATACCACTAGGACCAGATCAGTTGGTACTGAGGGGAGCCATGTTGAGAAATACTAACTGGATATTCGGTATGAATTATTTTGATGCAAAATATTTATTTCTGTTACTCTCCAAGTGACCAACAACTACCCCAGGAATCATGTGAGGTCACTTGGAGAGTAATGACAGTAAGTAAAGCCAGTTACGTGTAGCAGCTGTTGAGATATCGGCAATTATGCGATTCAAATCGGCATAAAAAAACCTGACAAATTGTCTGTACACCTTGGTATGTGTAAAGAATTTAACATTGGTACAGTTTCATATATCACATTTTTTTTGTTTGGAGTTATTTACTGAGTAGTATGTAATTTAATACACTAAGTGTGCTTATGTAGTTTAGTACTATTAACATACTAGAAGTCCTATTTCCTTATTGTGTAATTTATTTTGTTTATACAGAAATTTTTTTTGGTTTGATTGTGTAGAAAGCTGTAAGTTATATATATATATAATTATGAAATCAACCAGTACTTAACAATGAGTGTAAAGTTCCTTGCTCAAGGAAAAAACGGCTCACCCCTGACAGGGTTTGAACCCATACAGATAGCAATCATTAGATTACTAGTTTGTCGTGTTAACCACTCGGGCATGCTGCCACTTTGTTATTTATTTATACAGAGAATATATAAACTGTATGTTATTTCAGGTATTGTGGTGTATACAGGTCACGAGAGCAAACTGATGTTAAATTCTACGTCTGCTCCGTTAAAACGATCAAATGTTGAAAAAGTAACAAATTTACAGGTATGTTATATAGGTTTTATTTCCATTTGCAAATTAATATTTTTGAAATTTAATTTCTACAAAGTATTAAAGTAGAATTGTTGGAAATATAATTAGCTTAGGGGTTCTTTATAGATTCATTTTGTAAGGTTGATAAGCATTCTTTATTGTTGCTCCACAACTTGCGGATGCGTAGGAGGATATAAATTTGTCCTTCCTGTCACACTCTTGCTGTCATCCATTAACTGATAACAGTGGATGGTGGGGGTATATACATTGTATGCCTATACTTATAATTGACACTGTGATATTTTTCTTTATTTCAGATACTGTTTTTGTTTGGAATATTGTTACTGCTATCCCTTATCTGTACAATAGCCAATATGATCTGGTCTGGTGAACATAAAGCTGGACACTGGTACCTAGGCTATGATGGTACGTATTAATGAACATATCTCTACAATTAAATCGCAACATAACACAATTTTTCCTTTAATTTTTACTTCTGCATTTTGCTATCATTAACTTGAGCATTTTGCTCGTCAGTGTCAATATAAATTTAATTTTTATCAAGTCACTAAATACATGTATAATTATGATATCATAAAATGTCAGAATTGTAGTATTACACTGATTATATACAGGATGAAGAATATAATATTAATTGTATCAATTTTACAGGTAAAAAAAACCTATAAAATATTATAAATACATGTTCTTAATTGCTAAATAAATTAGTCTCTTCCTGTTGTAATTGGACATGTTTCTGAAGTTAAGTAAGCTTTAATCAATATAATCAATAGCAAAAAAAGGTGGGGGGGGGGGGGTCAAATATCCATTTGGCGAAAATCCTGGAATCCACAATCACAGCATCTTAAAATTGGAAATTATAAAAATCCTAGGATTGTAAATGCTATAATTTTCTTTCTTGTATTTTTTTTCTTCAGATTTGCCACCATCAAACTTTGGATATAATTTTCTGACTTTCATAATCTTATTCAACAATCTCATCCCAATTAGTTTACAAGTAACACTGGAAGTTGTCAAGTTTATACAAGCTATATTTATAAACTGGGTAAGTCTTATTTACATTTTGTTGAGCGTTTTAATATTATACGAATAATTTCCCATTCTCCTTTCCGTTTGTCTGTACATTTTTTCTTTTGTATCATCATTGTCAGATACCCATGGTTGATTAAAATATAACATAACATGATAAATGTTAATGGTTTGGCCGTGGGTATTCTGCGATGTATCATATACGTGTATTAATTTGTTTTCTTTTTCCTATATATATTTAGATAATGAATTGTGAAAAAAATATCTTGATTATTATTACTTTTATATTAACTTAATGTTTGTATATAAAATGTATGTAGTAATGATGTACAATGTACAAATCTGAATAAAGTTAGAGTGAGAATAAAAAAAAAGGTTCTGAGCACCACACTAAATACCGTATTCTGGTATATATACTCAACATCACTAATTCCGCGTCATCACTTATTTCACTACATCACTAATTCCGCGTCATCACTTATTTCACGGTAATGGCATATTTTCATGTTACCAGTTTTAAAATTGGTCAGAATTTACATATTTTATTCATACACCTATGCAACAAAGTTTTTGTGCAAAATATTTTAAATCTCTAGATTTTTACGTAAAACAGAACAACATTTTACAAATTTCTGCAAAAAGCAATAATAGTACATTAAATTTGTGCGTATGTCTGAAACAATTATCATTTTCTAAATGTTCTTGTTAGTTGAAAAAATAAATTTTGAGTTACAAAGTAAGGATAATTTTAATATTTAAAATCAAGCAAAGTTACATGTATAAATATTAACTGAAACATGAAAAAACTGAAATGTAATACCATTACCGCGATTTAAATGATGACATACTGTTTTTAAAATGGTTGACATATGGTCTACGTTTTGTCCATTAAAATTGACTTTGACTGAATATATTGTTGTTTTCTTGTGGCATTTAGCAGAAAGTACCTATATGTTATAGATTATGACAATTTTTGTACCATAAGTTTCATTTGTTGTTTTCTTTCTGGTTTCAAAGCGTTACCATGTACTAAGAGGAGCACAGTATACCAGACAAGGCGCTTAAATGATTAAATGCTAAATCTTGGCTTTTCACCCGCTGAAATGCGCTTATTTTTTTAAAGGCATCTTATTCAACTCTTTCACACTGATTTATATACGATAATAAATGAAAAATGTAAAAATTTGGGGAAAAACAATATTTTTCTACTTTATGATCATTACTTCTGCAAGCGTCTAGAAATACTGCTTCACCACTATAGTGAATTAAACATATGTTCTATTCCAGTCACCTTCCTAAATAGAATAATAGAATAGAAATATTTTTTTTTGATGAAATGGCCATGGATACATTTATATTGATGGAACTCTATGCGATTAAATACAGACACACGAAATTCTAAGAATTTCTTCCTTTTTTTGCTCTGGTTTTAATGAATATAAATAGTTTTTTTCAAGATGTATATATCTCTAAGGCATGTTTATTGATTTACATGTCATTCTGTAAATACTGTTGTCTAAATGCAAATCTTTCCATTATGCTGGATACAGTCATACATACTAAATGATGATGTCTATATGTACATAGAATGTACACATGTTTATAGACGATATTTTGTTTGTTTTGCATGTGATATCGAAATATATTTCACTGAGTGAACAGCAAAATGCAATATTTTAAGTGATTAAGTCATACAGCAGTTGGTATTAGTTGATGAAATATAATTTGATTTTACATGCAAAAGAAACATATTATCCATTTATTTCCTACCATTTTATTGGTTTTACATGTAAGTTGTTTTGACTGATTTTTTCCTCATAACATCATGCGCTCTCCTTCAGTCATTCACCTTTAATAAATAATACTTGGGACAGCTTTCAGTGAAGAAACTTTGTAAATGTAATAATATATAAATATTACAGGACCTGGACATGTATTGTGAAGAAACTGACACTCCAGCTATGGCTCGAACCTCAAACCTAAATGAAGAATTAGGACAGGTATGATATACGTGATCACTTATTACATGTTTCCAACTGTTGGTTTAAACACTTTGTAACAGGTATAAATTATAAGTACATGTAATTAAGAAATTTCATATATATTTCATATTGATAAGTTAAGATATCAGAAGAATTTTCTATTTTATTAATACTTTTACATATTTACTTGTATACCAATATGTCTTCTAAAGAGACTGGAACAGTCAATTCTTCATTTAAAGGTTTTCAATTTCTTGCATTCGTGTTTGAATTCAATATTATCATTGTTTATCTTCAGATAAAGTATATATTCTCTGATAAGACTGGGACATTAACAAGAAATGTGATGACATTCCGGAAATGTTCAGTTGCTGGTATAATGTACGGGTAAGTTATAAAAACATGTTCTCTTATATTTAGAAGATAGTAATAAGCAAATGCCACTGGCATATAGCCAGACCAGAACTTTCTCACCTCCTTTCAAGACTGGGCTATTGAAGTTTTATTATTTTGATATTAAATTTCTGTGGACTGAAAGTAGCCAGTACAAATAGCATATAAGTACAAGTATAGCATACAAAGTCATTAAAGGCACTTTTATTCCACAGAAATGAATAAGGAATAATTTTTTCTGTTTTAAAATGTTGTTATAATGGATTTAGAACATGTGAGATGCTTATCACATCTAGTAAATAGAACTGAATGAAAAATAATTTGTTATAAAGGTAGCAAACTGTAAACAAAGTAGTGTTTTAACTTCCATACAAAATACTAAATCAATATAATTATACTCAAAAGAAGCAAAATATGCCTCGGCTATATGGCCAATGAGTAACTTTTTTGAAACTGTAACAGGAGACCAAAAAATAAAAAGTTTATGGAAGATAAAAATGATAGCATTTCTGAGGCTTTAATGGCTTAATGGACCTTTAAGATGGATGTTTTATTTTCAGAACCTTTTATATTTTACTAATGTTGTAGAAATGTTCTCTTAATGTTAAGTGCTAGAAGTGAAAATTTACCAGCCTATACCATTAGTCTATACAATCAAACTAAAATAAAATCTGTATAAACAACAGAGAAAGAACAAGAATCATTTAAACAAGTAATAATAATTCTGTATTATTTCGTGAGTGATTTTCACTTTAAAATATTTTTGATATACAGGAACAATGAGGAAAGTGAAGGGGCCTTTAATGATGATACCTTAATACAGAACCTCAAACAAAATCATGTAAGTTTTGAATATTTTGTTTGCCTCTTGTGTGATAAATAGTATGTTTCTTATAAAGAAATTGGTAGTTACTGGCTAGATATCCAGTAAAGCTGGTTAAGGGAAACCAGCTGCATGAGACTGGCTGAAGATATATGACCAAAAATGTGTTAAAATCAGCTTAAAAAACAAAACATACAATTAAACAAATGAACAAAGAAAGTGAATATTTCATAATTGTAGAATTTTTTTTATCAATTTATAGAACATTGAAGTAACGTTTATTTTGAAAATATAAAAAAAAAGGCAAAGAAAAATGTTTTTTCTTTCAGAAACAAAAAAATTGTTGTGTAAACTTGAGTTTTCATTAATTCTATAAATTCTGAATTGTTGTATCACTGGTGGCTAATATTTCTAACCTGATAATACCATACAACAAAATTTGGCCTTGACAAACTGTGCTTTATGCTTTCAGCATCTGTAAAGTATCTGTTACATGTTGTTTTGTTTATTCTTAGGTAACTGTATAGACATTTCTAAGAAGGAAAAAGTCATGGCAGAAAAGTTTTGTGTAAAGGAAGATGACATGTTTTGAACTTGATAAATAAATAAATAAATATAAAAATTAACCATATTTATTATTTCAGGATACAGCAGGAGAGATTCGGGAATTTCTAACATTATTAGCAGTTTGTCATACAGTTGTACCTGAGAAATCTCCTGACTCGTCTATAATTTACCAGGCTTCATCACCAGGTAAGTCTTGATATTATTTGAGACATCCAGATGACAAACCATCTTCTGCATTGTGTACTTGATGATAATTAGTAGACCAATTTCAATATTAGGTGTATGAATTATGACTACCTTTTCCAGTGTGGAGATGTTTTGTTTTTAAGTTTGACTATTTGAAGCATTTTTCATCTTGACTTTTGAAGAATAGAGAGAACTATTGTACTTGCCCCAGCATCGAGGACAATGTCACACTTTTGTTAAGGTATTGCATGAAGTTGGTATCTCCAAAACTACTTAATGGGAATGGGTTAAAACTATACTTCACACACTTGTTCTCTGTGATTATCTAACATGATGGGCACAGGTTCCATAACTCTTTAGTTATAATTTTACAAAGTAATGCCCCTTTTTCCCATCTTTTAAGTATAATCTGTGAGAGTTAGAAGATGGACAAAACCTCTGACAGTGATCTTAATAAGGTGGTCAAAATCCCATGCATCTTGTGTTGTACTGTAATAAGAACATGGTGAAGTTTGACATACATGCACATAAGATTTTTACTTATGTCTTGTTTCAAATATTTTATTTCAATCATTTATGATTAATTTTATGTTTATACTTGTAATCATGATCCTATTTGTATTTCTAGATGAGGGCGCTCTTGTCAAGGGAGCTAAACAACTTGGTTTTGTGTTTTCTGCTAGAACACCAGATGCTGTTGTCATTGATGTGGTCAGTAGAATTATCAATTACTTGTTAACTTCTTTTGTAGTATTTGCTAGTTACCTCCCTTACTTACTACTTTGGTAAGACTAGGTATTCGGACATTAAATATTACAAATTACATAGATATGTTCCTTCTTTGCTTATGTGAAAGTCAGCAGGTCTTTATGATAACATTAGTGGTTCAACAAACATAGTGACTGTCTGAACTTTTATATTTTAGTGAATCGTTAAAATTCTATTTAATCACTGAAAAAATTCAAGTCATCTTATGTAGAAAATTTCATGTTTTTTTTTCAGTTTGATAAAGAAGAAAGATATGAAATACTTAATGTACTGGAATTTACAAGGTAAGTTAGAATTGATTGCTTATTGTTCTATGACATTGCTGTCTAAAATATCTATATGCACCTTTTAAGAGTTCATATAGCATTCCCTTTTATTGTTAGTGGTAAAGATGGCAGCAACATCATCCAAGGGGTCATTGTTTTTCCAAACAGAATTTTGCAGCACCAACCACTGAATTGGTCACAATAGGTCATTCATTCATCCCTGGTACTTAAAATAAATTGACCATGACTTATTATGTGCCACCACAGTGATGAGCACTTCATATGGGAGATTTGGTGAAGAACTTGGGGAAATATGTGACTTAAGCAATTTGATATCACTTAATAGATATGAGCTGCGTCATGACAAAACCAACATAATGGGTTTGCAACCAGCATGGACCCAGACAAGCCTGCACATCCGGGCAGTCTGATCAGGATCCATGCTGTTCGCTTACAAACCCTATTACAAGTATAGAAACTGATAGCGAACAGCATGGATCCTGATCAGACTGCGCGGATGCGCAGGCTGGTCTGGATCCATGCTGGTCGCAAACCCACTATGTTGGTTTTGTCATGACGCGGCTCATATGTTATCTTCTTCATTATAAATTGTTTTCTAGCTGTGATATTATTTGTTAATACAAAAAAGTTATGTCAAAAACGTGGGTTTGAGTCTCCTCTGCTCGAGTGACTTTTCCTCTCCCTTTAGTGTATTTGCCCTGAATTAGATTAAGAAAAGTATTTCATGACTTATTTTGTTTATCTGACTTAACTATTTAACATTTGATTGTTTTTGCATAACCTTTAAAGAAGGCATGAAAAATTTAATAAGAGTAGTATGAGATATATAAATGTCAAGGTGTTACAACAGTCTTTGATGTTAGATTGAATCGATATCCACATTTATTTCTAAGATGTTCAAGATTAATTTTATGTTCTTTAATCCCAAAGCTTTCTTTTGATAAATCTAATTAGTTTTCAAGTGTATGAAAAATAAACTTTGTTTCCCAAGACTCCAGTGATAAGGAAAGCTTACTAAAAAAGCAATATAGCTAAGGTTTTTTACTTTGAACTTTTTATTTCAGTGATCGTAAGAGGATGTCTGTGGTTGTAAGAACTCCAGATGGGAAAATCAAATTATATTGTAAAGGAGCTGTGAGTATATATTACTGTAATATAATTATGTAACTTTCGTTACAAAAAATGTCAGGTTTGAGAATTCTCCAACTTGGCAATTTTTCTGACATACTAACTTCCTGCTAATTGCCAGCTAAGAATTACAGTCATGTTTTTGACTCTGCAAGAGATTGGACATTATTGGGAGATCATTAAATTTATACCTTAAGTGATGTTACATTTATTTGTAATATGTACAATTTATTATTGAATTTTTATCACCACTGAAAACCAATATGGGGGACTACTGCACCTGTTTGAACAAAATAATTATTTCTTTATACAACAGAGTTTTTTTGCCCTGAACATTACAAGTAACACATTTTACAGAAATTCGAGGACTGTAGCTGATGAAAATGCAATACACCCTAGAAAGTGGGAAGTGATGAAGTTTCTTATGTTCAGCGTTCTACATAACTCCCAAAGAGCAGTTTTTTCATGGTGTTTGTAAAATTAAAGAAAAATTATTGCACCTGAAACTTCAAATCAATTTTAACTATTCTCTTAGAACTATTTTGAAGTTTTATAGTCTCTGATTGTAGATTTCACACATTTGTTATTCTTACAGGACACAGTGATATACGAGAGACTAGAAGACAAGCATAAATTCAGCGATATAACACTCCAGCATTTAGAACAGTTTGCTCATCTTGGGTTACGCACACTATGTATAGCCTCAACGGAAGTGAACGAAGAATTTTACGATGAATGGAAACATACTTACTATAAAGCTAGTACGTCAATACAGAACCGGGAGAAAAAACTTGAAGAGGCTGCAGAACTGATCGAAAGGGTAAGGATGACATTATCGCATGGAGACTGTTTCATGTTTTATAATTCTCTTAAAATTTGATTGTGGCTGCATGGCCGAGTGGTTTATGTTCTAGAGTTGCTGACCACGTGGGTTCAAACCTTGTCCGGGGAAAATTGTTGTTTCCTTAAGCAAGAAACTTTACATACATTGTTTAGTACTGGTTGTTTCCAGGAACAGATTCGAGAGTGTTTCAATAAGCTTATAGCTTCAAGCGTTCATTATTTTTTTATTATTTTTTTACAGAGCTTAAATCTCATTGGTGCTACAGCTATAGAAGACAAATTGCAAGAGGTAAAGTTAATTTTATAAAAAGATTTGATGCACCTGGAGTTAGGTCAATGCTGAAACATTAACTTTGAGAGCTTGGAACTAAGTTTGATAAGATATCATACCAAGGGCTTATCTTAACCCTTATTGAAATAAAACCAAATTAGTTAGCTCTTGCACCAGTGAAGAGCCAGGCCAGTCTACATACCTGTGCAGTTTGATCAGGCTTACTGTTGGTAGCTCAGTTTTTGTAAATTTTGGTATTTAAATCCCTTAAACTTGGAATGGACTGTTCTGACTTGAAAGCTGGACCGGTCTATTACATTAAATGAGGAGCTTAGTGGTTCCTAACTTGTTTCTATCATTGAAATACATCAATTATGTTTTTACTTGGATAAGACATTCTTTAAAAGGCTTTCGATTAAAAAAGTAAGCGCAAAAGTTTGCTAGATATTATTTATAGACTTTGTGATGGTGTTATTATTGCCAGGGCAAATACTTTTATCACTAAACGGAGCAAAGAAAACTGTTGAACAAACCTGGTGTTGAGGTGACAATTCTACAATATAAAGGAAAAATAACGGATTACTATTGTCAATATTTTCAAATAATCAATGTATTTAAATGACCCATCATATTTAAATATGTTGTTATTGGTGTTTACAGGGAGTTCCTGATACAATAGCTAACCTTGCCAAAGCAGACATTAAGATCTGGGTACTGACCGGAGATAAACAAGAAACTGCCATAAATATAGGTAAGTCTCTGGCTAAAAAGTTCAAGTTTCTGTTTTTACAGTCAAACCTGTGTTGAAGATTACCTCTGAATAAAGACCACCTTGTAAATAAAGGTCACTTTTCACGAACCCTTCATGCCACAAAATTTTCAAGTTTTGGTAGCCTTACTGATCCTGTTTCTTTGTCTGTACTTAAAATATTCTTTCGGATTCAAAAATCTATATAAAAATCTTTATAAGTCTTTAATTGGTTAGGCAGTGTTTTGATATTTAATAAAACAATATTTGTTATAATGTTATTATACATATAATGTGTTAATTGTTTGTTTTTTCCAGGGTATTCATGTAAACTTCTCACACAAGGAATGCCGTTACTTCTTATTAATGAACATAGTCTGGATGTAAGTTTTTCCTGCCCCTTTTCTTTACTGTATTAAAGGATATAAAGCTATATCTTAAGAAAATATGAAATTTATCAATAGTAAAATAATATTGGTTCCATAACTTTATGTTATGGTCGATTTTTGAAAGAGTTGTGACATGAAATGTCTCCATTATTTTACACATTGTAAAGATTGTACTCAAACAGAAAAAAAAATGTTCTGGAACAAAATGATATGCTGCTATATTAAGAAGCATTTTAACCATTAAGGAATATTTTTGTGCATGTGCCATTGGCTTTTAAGTTAATATACTACTAAACAAGCTTTTTCTAAGTATTCTTTAAAATGCAAACAATAATTTTTGCTGCATATGTACAGCTTTATACACTGTTAGTGTTATAATAAGCATGTTTGTCAAGTTTTCCAAGTAGTTGGAAAGTTTGGCTTATCAAATATTTTGGCCATTTTTTTGCCTGACCAATGGACTATTTTTGTAACAGAATGTAGTTTAAAATGTATGTTAAGTACTGCCAGATATCTGGTTCCATGGTGGAGGGGTTAGAGTCAATGACTTCTAATACAGTTACCTCTCTGGTGTGGGTTCGATCCCCGTAAGATGCTTTGGTAGTTTAGCACTGAGGAAGGTAGTCTAGTACTGGTGTAACTCTCCAGGAATGATGGTTAGGAAACTGCCCGCCTATATGACTGAAATACTGTTGGGAAAAGGCGTAAAATGAAACAAACAAACAAAAAAATCTGGTTGGGGTCTCACTGAAAAGTTTCAGGTCCTAATAAAAACTTGCTTGAAGTATCAGAATTTCGAAGAATAGATCAAGCTTTTGTACTCACCAAGGTTTCTGTATCCCCGTCACACTTTAGTTTAAGTTTTTATGTGCAAGTTTGGTATCTCTGAAACAATTAAAGGGAATGGATTTTGGTTGAAGCATAAAAGGTCACTGTCCAAGATCCATAAACCATATGACGTGTTGCAAATATTTTAATTATACTGGTTGCAGGGTACAAGGGAAGTGTTACGCAAGCATGTAGAAGAGTTTGGCGACCTGATCAGGAAGGAGAATGAGGTGGCACTCATCATTGACGGGAAGGTAATTGTTCAAATCCTCATCATTTATAACTGTAGATATAGATACACAAATAATTGTTAGAGAGGGTAAGGTCTCATTAGTGTCAAGGTCAAATTTTCATATATTTTATAGCAGTGTGTCAGAAAGTATACTTTTAAAGAAGCATGCATAGGATGAATAAAATAAATTAGTATTAAAAAACTTATTGAAAAAGAAAAGTATATAAGTGTTTAAGAAATATATAAAATATTTACACATCACCTTGGGTAACCTTGAAAGCTTGATGTCAAATTTGATTGAAATCACTATTTTATGGCCATATTTCTATCAAATAACTTACAGAGTGGGTGGGGTTAGCGGTATAATTGCATATTTTGACATATTATTGGTAATTTTAGTGGAAAAGAATTGTATTCACTATTTAAGATGATAAATGCAGATATATATAAATTGCTTTTTCATAGAAAGCCACGATTAATATTCCATAAAGATGTAGGTTTGGGGAAATCTTTAATATTATAGAAATTTAAAACAGTTACGTTAAATTTGAAAAGGCCCCTGTATTGTGCCAAAAAATACTTTTAAGAAAAGACCAATGAGACCTTACTTTTCATATCTCCATATATTGCTCTAGGTAAATTGTATATTTACTAACCAGTGGTCATTTTGTAGTATTTTGTTATTTGTTTAACCAGATCAGTTTGCTTCAATTACATTAAAAAAGATAAATGAGCCGCGTCATGACAAAACCAACATAATGGGTTTGCGACCAGCATGGATCCAGACCAGCCTGCCCATATGCGCAATGATCAGGATCCATGCTGTTTGCTTACAAACCCTATAACAAGTAGAGAAATTGATAGCGAACAGCATGGATCCTGATCAGACTGCGCGGATGCGCAGGCTGGTCTGGATCCATGCTGGTTGCAAAACCCATTATGTTGGTTTTGTCATGGTGCGGCTCATATGTGAATTAATTTACGCAGCTGTATTTATTAGTTTTTAAAGTTAATTGACACCAGCACTGTGTTTTTGTACTTTTGTACTATCACCGAATGTTATATACATGTATATTTGTTAAAAGTGTTTTGTTTTAGTTAGTGGCAATAATTATTTATTTTAACAATTTTAACTCAATCCTTCTCAACGCAAGTTTTGAAATTGATTTCTTTACTCTTTTTTTTTTTGGCTGTCACGGGATGATTTTTTTATTCAGATAATTTCAATTTTAATAATTACCTGATTTTTTTTTTATATAGAATATTTTGTTTATTTAATTCCAAATTTTATGTAAAATTATCATTTTGAATGAATAATATATCACCTTAAGCGTTTTTTGTTTGTTTTGGTTTTTTTTTTGTTCAGTGACAGAAAGTGGTTTAATGTATGAAGAGTGATGAAATGGTGAAAGTTATTTAATGATGAAAAAAGAATTTTAAACTTTTTACATGAAAGAAATGATAAAAAGAGCAAGAAAGAATTGTTATATTAAATTTTTTTTCTTGACATTATTTTTTTGTTTTTCTTTTGAGAGTAAAAATAAGGACCTCTCAAGATGTAATTCACAATATTTTAAAAATCATCATGATTTTTTTATTTTAATGTTTTTTTGCTCTGTCTTTGTTCAGATCACTGCACTTTGTCTTTGATTTATTTCCACAGAGCCTGAGCCATGCATTGGCTTGTGAATGCATAAAACCAAAAGATCGCGTAGGTTTAAAGAAAGTGAAATTTTATGCCAAGTATAAAGTATGCCTGTTGTTTTAATTTTGTATCCGCTAGCTTTATATTTGGGCAGAGTAACCTCCCTTTTTTACCTATATATATATGTGTGTAACTATGTTTAAGATATATATATAACCATGTGTGTTGGAAATGCACTTTGACTGCATGGATCCGTGTTGAAAATTAATTTATTAATTGTCTTTTAATCTGTATACTGTCTTGTTTTGTTGAAATGTAAATTTAGTAACTTGTTTTAAATTTTGGGCCAGAAAAGTTAACAGAAAATTACACACTAGTTTCACAATGTACTTATGATGCTGTTAAATGTAAAATTGAACCCCCTGACTTATGTCAGTCTTATGTCAGGGAAAGTAAATGTGAGCCTTCAATTTTTTTACTTTGATAAATAATACTGTAAGAGCCATTGTTAGAAATGGAGAAATGAAATTCTCATATTGATCAGCTTTTTAATGCAGTTCTTTGTGTTTTTTTTCCGTTCTGCAAGTCGAATTTAGCGAGTCATTTGATTTGTTAATCTAGTTAAATACTATGTACATTCTTTTCTTCACTGTTATTTACATATAAACTCTTTCTGCATTGAACAAGAATCTATTTGTTACTGATAACCTTCTGTCCCTATTAACCTGATGAAAGTTCCTTCCAGTTTAAGAAGTGGAATAAACTATTAAGGAATATAGTGGGAGCCAGAGTTATATGCTTATTTCTTCCTACCCCTATATTCCTTAAATAGATTCTTCTCTTCTGTTCTGTTCAGTGGAATGGGCTAAAGAGGAAAATAGGGGAGATAGGTGTAAAAAAATTAAGTTTAAATGTATATTTTGTTCTTTTTTCCTTTTTTCGTTTGAATTTTTGATACAATTTTATTCTTTTGTAGAATGCTTTCCATGTTTTAACATTTAAGTTGAATTGCATTATTTGTTGTCAGTATATCACAAAAACACTCAATATTTTTGTTTTATCAGCACTAGTTTATCAGAAAATTCATAACTATAGATAGAAAATTAAAAATATAATTCATGATTAAAAAATTCTTTGTGCTTAACATGTCTGTATACTTTCCTGGAAAAGAAGTCTGAAGTTATATTAGAAACAAGTTGTTCTGGATTGAGCCAAGTTGTCTCCTCTTTTCTTCCTTCCTTATGACTAGTTTGTCCAAAAATAAAGTGTCATTTGTATGAAAAAAGAAGGAACTAAAATACCACAAACTTAACAATCATGTTGTACTGAAAGATTGTCAAGGTTTGAAAATATAGCATTTTTGCAAAATTTATTAATGTTCATTTATTCTTTCTTATTTATAAATGACAATTTTATTAATATTCATATATAAGACCAAATCGATGGAATAGGAGCAATGTTGTATTATTTTGAAGTCAACATGCATGTATTAATTAAAAATAAATTGATTTATCAAATTGTTTTAATAGAGTCATGTCTGGAAAGAGATTTTTTTTTGTACCATGAAATTATAGGTAAAACAGAATAAAACATTTCCTAGTAAAATATTTGACTAGTGTTTTTAGTAGGTATAAGGTAGAATTCAACCCACTTCCCTGAAATTTTCAATTTTGGTACTTTAATCAAGAAACAGAAATATTCTAGACTACCTAATACATACAGTCTAATTTGATATTGCTTTAAACCAATAAAAGACAAAGTTACCGGGGTAAGCAAAAAAAGACCCCACAACGTTTCTTTTGTAAGTGTCATTATTTTATAAAGCAAATTCCAGGAAAGTATAGATTTAATTAAACATTAACAGACAATCGTGGCAAAGGCTCTTGGTTATGTTTAAGGTTTAAAAAAAAATGAAGACCAGTCTTATTATAGAGCCTTCCCATTGGTCAATATCAAACTTGTATTTGAAATCGTCCAATCAGCTGTTTCAAATCTGAGACTGGTCTTCTTTTTAAAGTTTCAGTACTGATTATTATTTGCAGAAATTTTTTCATGTTTTCTTTTGTGTCAGATTTGTTAAGGAATAATTCAAGACAAGCAAACATATTTAAGAGTATAAACATTTCATGATTTGTTAAGAAAAGAATTAATATGATTTATTTAAATTTATATATTAACGCTCTTTTTTGTTTCTTTCAGACACTGAAATACGCATTGGCATGTGACTGTAGACAAGATTTTCTGGATATAGCTGTGTCATGCAAGGCTGTCATATGCTGCAGGTATATATAGAGAAGGCACTCATTGAATATATGAGCCGCGTCATGACAAAACCAACATAGTGGGTTTGCGACCAGCATGGATCCAGACCAGCCTGCGCATCCGCGCAGTCTGATCAGGATCCATGCTGTTCGCTTACCAACCCTATTACAAGTAGAGAAACTGATAGCGAACAGCATGGATCCTGATCAGACTGTGCGGATGCGCAGGCTGGTCTGGATTCATGCTGGTCGCAAACCCATTATGTTGGTTTTGTCATGACATGGCTCAATTATATCTTTTTTTGCCTTTTTAACCAGGTTTTCCGAAGGAAAAAACTGGTTATTAGATTGAGGTATGTCGGCGGGCGGATGGGCGGGCGGACGGGTGGGCGGGAGGGCGGGCGTTAACAATTTCTTCTGTGCGCAACTCCTTCTACATTTCTCAACGGATTTTGACCAAAACTTTCACAGAAGCTTTGTCATCAAGTGCCCTGGCGCATATTGTCGGGGTTTTGCGATTGGATAATATTTGACCTAATTATGGCCCTTTGTTTTTTTTCCTTATATAGAATATATAGTGAACAATTTCTTCTTTGCACAACTCCTCCTACATTTCTCAACGGATTTTGACCAAACTTTCACAGAAGCTTTGTCATCAAGTTCCCTGGCACATATTGTAGGGGTTTTGCGATTGGATAATATTTGACCTAATTATGGCCCTTTGTTTTTTGTCCTTATAAAGAATATATAGTGAACAATTTCTTCTGTGCGCAACTCCTCCTACATTTCTCCACGGATTTTGACCAAACTTTCACAGAACCTTTGTCACCAATTGCCCTTGGGCATATTGTCTGGGTTTTGTGATTGGATAATATTTGACCTAATTATGGCCCTTTGTTTTTTTTCCTTATACTGAATATATAGTGAATAATTTCTATCGTGCGCAACTTCTCCTACATTTCTCAACGGATTTTGACCAAACTTTCACAGAAGCTTTGTTATCAAATGGCCTGGCGGATATTGTCGGGGTTTTGTGATTGGATGATATTTGACCTAATTATGGCCTTTTGATTTTTTTCCTTATACAGAATTATCCATATATAGTGAACAAATTCTTCTGTGCTGAACTCGTCCTACATTTTTCAACGGATTTTGTTCAAACTTTCACAGAAGCTTTGTCATCAAGTGCCCTGGCACATTTTGTCGGAGTTTTGTGATTGGATAATTTTTGACCTAATTATGGCCCTTTGTTTTTTTTCCTTATACAGAATATATAGTGAACACTACTCAGTGGCAATTCCTCCTACATTATTCATGTTTTACATTGCACATAGTTACATTGTTTGTTGCTTGTATTTGTATTTCAAATACAACATATTTATCTACAATGGTGATAATTGAAAACCTGGTTTCATGGCATTGCCATGTTTCTTGTTTTATATGTTTCGAAATTTTTTAATGCATATGACAATCACTACGTATAGTATAACTGGCATTGGCTAAGGAAAGTGTTGACCTACTTATCTTTTAATCTTTTGAGAGAAACAGGGTAAAAATAATCATGATTTGGACAAAAAGTTTGGCTATTGAAAGAATAGAGGGAGTTTTGTATACTTGCCTTAATATTTGCATAACTTTTGATTATGATTTTGAGGCTGAACGTTTTCACTGAAAATTTTATAAATGTCTTTGGGATTATGATTGTAATTCACAGATCTAGACCTATAACTTGCCATAAATTTTATTGTTTTTATTGTTTTTATCCAGTAAATTTCTGCTCATTTATATTAATGATAGCCTTATCTGCATAACATCTAAACGAATTTACTTTCTGAACATGCTACATGTACATATAATAGCTTAAACCTAATATTGCGCTAGATATCTGAAAAATGACATGACATATATCTTTTAATTTGGACATAAACATGGATCTTTTTTTTTTTTTGTGGGGGGGAGGGGTGTTGGGGGGAATTATACTCAATATTTACTGACAGAATAGTGAACAGTGCAGACCATGATCAGACGGATGATCTTGGTCTGTACCGGTTGCATGGGTATAATCAGGCTGAAGGTAAAAAAAAGGTCATCACAATTAATACAGTGTAAATTTATTTAGATTTGGCATTGTTCTGGAAAATTAAAGTAAAAATATCTCACAGTAAAAGTATATGTACATGTATATTTTTTTTGTACTTTTAGGGTTTTAAATATAATCATAGTACAAGCAAATAATATGAACCGTATATTTCAGGGTATCACCACTACAGAAAGCAGAACTTGTAGATTTGGTGAAGAAGTCGTGTAATGCAATAACACTTGCTATAGGAGATGGTGCTAACGATGTCGGGATGATACAGGCTGCCGATGTAGGTGTTGGTATAAGTGGCGTAGAGGGGTTACAGGCAGCATGCGCCTCCGACTATGCCATTGCTCAGGTTTGAATCTTTAACTTAGCTTTCATTTTGATTAAACTAAATAAAAGGGAAGTCTTGGATCGTTTGACTTGCCATGCATTCTAATGAGATCAAGTATTGTTATCAATTTTTAGACACTACATGTATATAAATATCAGATATGTTGTAGTTGAATTCTAGTTTTATATTTACATACACTTAAATCTTCATATTTTATTTCATAATACTGCATGTTTGTAACGTCACTTTTCATTGGATAATCTTGACGTTTATATAGTTTTATAAATATGGCTGCTGTCAATATATGAAGAAATCTCATTTTTTTCTCTAAAAAGAAGGAAGTTTGCTGTATCTTCCTGACAGGTTATATGACCATATAGTGGTTTGGGTTATATTTCCAAACAATCATTTATATAGGGCCATATAACCTGTCAAAAAATCTTTATAACTAATAAATTCATTATAATATTTTAAGTGTCCTTAACAGATATGCTTCAGAATTGTTGCTCTTCTTTATCATACTTGTATTATTATTATACGATATATTATACTTTACATATTATTCTTTCAACAGTTTCAATTCCTCAACAAACTATTGCTGGTGCACGGAGCTTGGAGCTATAGCCGACTGTGTAAACTTATATTATATTCTTTCTATAAGAATATATGTCTTTATGTGATTGAGGTATATATATCTTCTTTTCTTATCTCCCCCTTCTTGGGGACATTGTGTACCAGTACTTTAAGTCACTTTAAGTCATTATAAATTGCTGACTTTTGAATTACTTGACTATATACTGTAGTTAAAGGGGAGTGGTGGTCTAGAGGTTAAGGCCTTAATCGGGTCAGGATTGTTTCTTAATATGACACCAGTACTGGTTGGTTCCAGGAAGGGGACTCGAAAGTGATTAAAATAAGTTGTAAGAACTTGTTTGGCAATCAAACTTAAATAGTTAAATTTAAACCTAAACTGTAGTTTAAATCTCAATATTGACTTTGACTTCTGTTATATGAGAAAGTTATCCAGATAGATAATGCTAAAGGTTAATTGTTATATTCAGGTGTTGATCAGGTGTTGATAGCACCTGAAGTGTTCCTTCCCACCTGCAAATGTGAAAAATTGCCATAAGACTTTTTACAATGTTGGATTCACTTGAAATCAAGCAACAACAACAAAAAATCTTGTTGGCCTAGGTCTGCCTTAAACATGTACATTTCATATATTTTCTACTCTTTGAATAATCATTTTGCTAGATAAGTTTATTTTATTTATACAAACAAACAAAAATAAGCTCTATGATTAGACAGGTAGTTATAAATGTCCGGAACTCGGCAAATGTAGGTTTTTCCAAGCAAATTCCTTGGTACAAACAAACTTTTACCATTATAACTTCACGGTGCAAAACTGGTCTTAATAAATCAGTCAATCTTTTGCACTTATTTTCAAAGCTGTAACTGTAAAAAATTTGTTTGTACCCTTGGATTAGGATGGAAAATCCCAAAATATTCTTCGTTCTGGATAAAGTCTATTGCACCATCCATTTCCTAATGCATGATTTTGAAACAAAAATCTACTTTTTCATGACATCATAACTATTGTTGATGTTATTACTTTTCTTTTCTTTGTTTTTCATTAATGATATGATTTACAAATAATTTGTAAAATGTCTATTTCAGATTATACACGTGTATTGTCAAAATATGGATAATGAATATCGGAAACAATTGTATTTAAATTTTATATATTATAACAAGTATTTATGTTTCAGCTATGGTTTCACTTTGACATTTTGTACATTTTTTCGTAACAATTGTTTATGTTTCAGCTATGGTTTGCTTTGACAAATGGATTTTCAGGTCAGATCCTATTTGAAAGGTGGACAATAGGATTATATAATGTGGTATGTGCAAGACAATTGTACATAACAGCTAATGTTGCTTGAATTACCTCCCTTGCTCTCACTATCTTGCTTCTATTACCTCCCTTGATATATGAACTGTCAAATGTGCATACTTTTAATTATGAAAATTTGTATAGAAAAACAAAAATGCTAGCTTAAAGTTCATTGCTTGCGCAAAAATAGGGAACCAAGTGATTGAATTTACACTATATGTGCAGAATTATTTGAAATCATTTTCTTAACCTGTTGCATTTCTAAGATGGACTTTCCCAGCTTTTATTTTGGAGTCAGTTTTGGGGATTTCAAGATGCAAAAAAGTTGGTCAGCCTGTATAAAGCTAGGTTAGACTGAACAGATAGCTTATGGAACCTTGATGGTTCTATTTAGGAGCCAAAATGTACCTGAAATAATGTCTTTCTGCACCAGTAAAGCTGGAAAAATCTCTATTTAAATCACTGTGTTGGTGTGGCATAAAACCCAACCAAAACATTTTTTTTTAAATGGGCATCTGGGATGAAACATTTGCTAGCATTTTTGTTGTATTTAGATATGCATGATATTGTTATTGAATGAATTGTATAGCTGTTGTGAAATAATTCTGTAGAATCTTCAACTTTCAGATATGTTAATGCTGCATGGCTAGATATATATATATATCTGTGTCTTCTGCTGTAATATAAAAAAACTCACTCTTGCAGATTCAGTCATTTGTGAGATGTTGATCTGAAACAAGAGTTGTAGGGGATCTTATTATGAATGTACTTTAGCTATCTCAGGCAACAAATGCTGATAGCTTTGTCATGCATTACAAGAAGTCGTCTGCTGTTAGAGCAGGCACAGTTTCTGAGTGGGATGATATTTACAGGTAGCTTTGAATGTGTACTAAGATATCATCAGCTGTTATTATGCCAACTACTGTTTAAGTGCCGTCAGCTTTTTTAAATGCTGACAGCTGTTTAAGTGCCAACTGCTGTAATAGTGCTGACTGCTGGTAAAGTATTGACTGCTGTTTAAGTGCCGACTGCTGTTTAAGTGCCAACTGCTGTTTAAGTACTGACTGCTGTTTAAGTACTGACTGCTGTTTAAATACTGACTGCTGTTACAGTGCTGACGGCTGTTACAGTTCTGTCTGCTGTTAAAGAACTGGCTGCTGTTTGAGTGCCAAAAGCTGGTATAATGCCCTCTGCTGTTATAGTGCCGAACTGCTATTAAAATAGTCATGGCTGTTAAAATACTCATGGCTGTTAAAGTACCGCCTGCTGTTCAAGTACTGACAGGTGTTATAATGTCAACTGCTGTTAAATTACCAACTGCTATTATAGTACCAACTGCTGTTAAAGTTCTGACTGCTGTTAAAGTACTGATGGCTGTTAAAGTACTGATTGCTGTTTGACTGCTGTCAGCTGTTATAATTATGTCTGCTGATAAAGTGCTGACTGATGTTATGATGTTGACAGCTGTTATAGTGCCTCCCTGTTTTCTTTTTTTAGATACACAAGGAACTACAGACAAGACGTAAAGACAACTTTGTTTTGCACTTTCGTGTGCAGTCAGTGAAAGTTCTTAAATTTGGACAGCACATAAACTTGATGTTGCATGTATCTGTATGTTAACTTTCTATTTTAGGAAACAGATTTATTAGACAAAAGATCACCGCAGAGAAATACATGTATACTGCCGTAGGCATTCCAGATAGTCTAGTGAAGCTTTTGCATGATTTGTGTTGGATTGTGATCATTTTACCATTATCTTTTCAAAGTCAACAATAAACTGAGTTTTTGATTCCAAATTTACAAAATTTTAATCAGGAAACATACAAATATACTTTTTTTCAATATGTGCCAAACTTTTGCTCAAATTAGACATTGAAAAAAATAATTTGGAAAATAGGATTTAAAAATTCAAGCAGGAGCATTTTAAATGAGTGTTGCTGAGTCTGAATGATTAAAATGCCTTTTCAATTTCAAATATAGAAATGTCATTTCCACTGAAAATTTGGAAAGATAATGCATAGGAAATGATGACAGTCCTCACATGCTTAAGTATAGTATATAAATCTGTAGCTCCTCCTCTTTAATCTATAGTCCCTCCTCCTGGATCTATAGCCCCTCCTTATTCTATAGCCCCTTCTCTTAGATCTATAGTCCCTCCTACAAACAACTCTGTTACCTTTGATAGTTACACTGTGTGCTGTATGAGGCATGTGCTTTATTGTGTTACAGTTTTGGTTTGCGTTACAAAATGGATTCTCCGGTCAGATTCTGTTCGAGAGATGGACCATAGGATTTTATAATGTGGTATGTTACAAAATAGATAGGTATTGTTTGTGTAGAATGAAATATTATAATGTGATGTGATGTCATGTGATAAAAGCAATTTTGTGCATTTAGTTGAATATTTATATTATGTCAAACAGTAATTAATAAGTGATTTACTATGAAATGAGAGCTGTGTTCATGTTTAAAAGCACTTACTTAATTTTGTTTAATTTCTTACTGTTTTAATCTGATGATTGAGTAATGTATTTCTAGACTAAATCATTCAGAAATAATACATAAACTCAAACAGGCGGTCAGAGAGGTGCCTCTCTTGGTACACCATAGATCATTTCTATGAATATTAAATATCCTCTCATAGAAAAATGTGTTATGGTTCTTTTGGTACGCCATAGATTATTACCAAGGACATGAAACTGTCTCTTTGTCAGATAAAGTTAACTCACTTGTTACCAATCTTAACTTAGTTCGAGGGAATTGCCTAGTTTTGAACTATCAATGGCTATTGTAAAGGGATTCAGAAATAAAAACAGTAAATTTGAAAAGCCATCACTGTTCTGAGTCTCGTGATTCTTTGCCCTGCTAAATTTTTGAAATAGACTTGTCCAGTTTTCATTTTTGGAACTGTTCATTATTAGTTTTGGGGATTTCAAGATGAAAATTTGAAGTTGGTCAGCCAACAGTATAGAATTTAGTCAGACTGCATGGATGTGCAGGCTGGCCTGGCTCTATATTGCAGGTAACGACTAATCACTATCGGTTCTCTATAAGGTAATTGTTTAACTTCACTGGATGATATAGTAACGATACATTTTCTGTTATTGCAGATATTTACGGCAGCTCCTCCCCTAGCAATGGGTTTGTTTGATCGGTATTGTAGTGCCGAGAGCCGATTAAAGTTCCCTGAACTCTATAAGTCATCACAAAATGCTCAACAGTTTAATGTGAAGGTAAGACTTAATTTTTTTCAGTCTGCAGGAATGGTTTATGAAATAATTCAAGTTTGTATAAGGCAGTTTGTATGATTATGTTTTGTTACCATACTTAATATGTGTAATTCTCTGAAACACATATAAGTATGGTATCAATATTTGTTGATCTTGACATACATGTCTGTTTCAAACATATATTCAAATATTGCATATTTATACATAACGCCTACCTTTGATTTGAGTAAGCATCGTTTTTTTTACTGAGGAGCCTCTGTGTCCCAAGTAGTAAAGGTTATTGACATCAAATTGCCCAGCACTGTTTTGTGTTTAAACTTTGCTATGCAAAGATCGAAAATTTTGTCTGCTTATAATTCTGAGTAGAATTTAAGAGAACTCAATGCAGGACCAGTAGAAAACTGTTGCTTGCACATGATTTAGAAGCTATTAGTCCTGCAGGAGGAGTGACTCTGAAAATATTTTTTGATGCCTGCTAGGGACATGGACTTCAATCATATCATAAAGGCTTTGTAACTAGCTTATGGAAAGTCAATAGTTCTACTCAGGTGCCTACTGGCGTCTTCTTACACCAGTTAACCTGAAAAATCATCATATAACTGTAACAGTTACATTATTTAATAGAATAATTGTCAGTGAATATGATTTTTAGACTTTTTTCAAGTAAACTAGCCATGGGTTAAATAATTTTAAAGAATATAAATGATTACAGTTTTGTGTACCAGTATATACATGTAAATAAGTTTTGGGTGTATACATGTATATATAGGTTGTAATGTAAGATATAAACTTGATGTATTATAATCCAATAAAATCACTTGTTGGCTTCTTTTATGGCTAAGATTTAATGATGTATATTTAATCATTTATATTTTTCAGGTGTTTTGGATGTGGATTGCTAATTCTATATTTCATTCCATACTTCTGTTCTGGATGCCCATCATAGCTTTACAACATGGTATGGTTCAGCCTTTAATATCTTGCTTCTTTTAAGATATGTCAGCCACATGATTTTAAATTAGTTAGGTTTCTTTATTAAAAGGTAGCAGAAAAGGTGAACTTAGTAAGCCTTATGTGACTTTGCAAATTCAAGTGATTTTGCATGCTAATCTGGATGAAAACATAAATCATTTAAAGTAAAATTTCAAAATATGTACTAACTGAATAATGGAAACGGAACAGTTCACACCATGATCACGCGACACAGATGTGGGGGCCCATCTTGGTCTGATCTGGTTGCTTGGGTGATGGAATGGCCATTGTCATAGACAGTCAAGAAATGGAAAAAAATAGCTTGTTATATTATATAACTGCAGTCAGAAGATAGTATTTTTGATGAATTAATGTGATCGAAATTTTCCATCATGGATCTTTACAACAAAAAAAATTGTATGTTAATTGACAAATACAAATGTACATCTTGAATGAAATGAAATGATGAGATTTATGTAAACTTTACCTTATAATTTGCTCCTATTAAAAGAATGAATGTCTAACTTGCATTCACTTGATTTCTATTTCAGATGTAGCATTCTCAGATGGAAAAGTTGGAAATTATTTATTTGTTGGAAATTTTGTTTTACTGAATATCAAATTTTTGTAGACATGAACCTGTAAAAGTAAGAAAATTTAAAACCAGGGAATAGTAATTTTAAAAATATTTTCTTTTATCTTTATTGTCTTCATTTCCCCTCAAATTCTCCAAAAATTTTACAATAGTAATGTTTTTTTTTCTTACTAATTACAAATTTTTGTAATTTGCATAAAAAATTTTTGAAAAAAGAGAGGCGTCTGTGGCCGGTGGTTAAGGGTTACTTTTAAAGACTAGCCCCACCCTGTGGACAAATCCGAAGGCTTTGGTTTTTTTCATGTAAGGGAAACTATCCGCTAGCTTACGGAAAGTTGGTGGGTTTTACTCATTACCCTTCCTGCCTAAAAAAATTTGGGGGGAAGGGCACCTAGGGGTTCTCCCCAGTAAATGGAACGCCATATGACCCTTAAATGTGTTGACTTAAACCCAAAACAAACAAACAAAAAATATTTAAAATGAAAGCACCGAATTAATTAAGCTTAGGTTGATATAGAGTTCAGCATAACAATAAATTGTTTCATTTTCATATTTAAGGCTTAAAGTTGGATGTAACACAAGGTTTATTTGTTGTATATTTCAGTATGTTGTAGTCACAGTATGCCTCAAAGCTGGGTTAGAAACAAGTGCTTGGACTTGGGTAATGTAACTTTTGTCTACATATAACTTAATTAATTTTTATTACTGTGAACATTTACAGAATTAAAAACAGGTCCCTGTCTAAAAAGAAATGGCATTGTTATGCCACCAGTATAAAGCCAGGATAACTTGCCCAATTTGTTCTCTGGTCTGACTCTTTACCATTGGTTATGCACCAGTTAATATTTACTCATAATTTATGTCCTATTTGTTTGTTTTTTATTAGGACATTTAGTGTAACCAGAAATTGCAATAATATAAACATTGCTGATCAGATATATGGGGAAATATAACCTCCTGAGATTTATATATAACCTACAGCTATGGTCATATAATTTTTGTTAAAAGATTGAACTTTATTACATGTGTCACTATTAAAACTTTCTGTATTAAATTAAGGACTATGTCCATAGGATACAGCCATATTGCACCAGTATATGCAAAGTTGGCCTTTGAATTTGGTTCATTCTTACCTGACCCTATACTGTTCACTACACATCAGTGGACCACTTTGTCAGCATACAAACTAACTAAGATTTTGTAATATGATATTTTAATTTTCGTGTTTCAGTTAACACATTTAGCCATTTGGGGCAGTATTGGAAGCTGGTTCCTGTTTTTGATAGTGTATAGCCATGTGTACCCAACCATAAACCTGGCACCAGAAATGGTTGGCATGGTAAGTAACTGGTTTCCGTTTTTTGATCGTTTATAGAGTCATGCATTTCCTACCATAAACCTGATACCAGAAATGGTTGTGCTAGTTTCTGGTTCCTGTTTTTGAAAGTGTATAGTCATGTGTTCCCAACTGAAATTTGGCACCAGAAATAGTTGGCATGGTATCTGACTGGTTCTTAATTTCAAAAGTATAAGGTTATGTAAAGGTACACATGTAGTTTTAGAAATGCTAGGCATTGGTTATCTGGGTCCAGTCCTAAAGCTTTAAATCATATTGTCTCACTTATTTATAAATAAAAAAAACCCAACAAATTTGCTCTCAAAGACGTTTAGTGCTGAAATATGTAATTTTAGTAACCAATCAGATGGCGTCTATTTATAGCTCATGTTTGTTCTATTTCAGGATCGTTATGTTCTTGGTTGTTCTGTATTTTGGATGGGTTTACTTCTTATACCATTTACCTGCCTCATCAGGGACTTAGCATGGAAAGTGTAAGTGCTATTACATAGTACATAACAGTAATTTAATTGATTTATATACTTCAGCGTTGAACAGAAGAAAGCTGTTAATATACTTTATTGCCAAGTAGTGAGCTATAAACAGTGTGGACAGTTTTGAAGTAACTTTGACCAATGAGATTGAGACATAATTATGTATAATTTAACTCCAATGATTTTATACTATTGGTTACTTGAAATTGAAATATTCTGTGTAAAACATTTATGTTTGACACATTTGATGTTAATTTTTTTATTTTGAGAAATCTAGGTTTATCTGGAATGTTTGTCATACATTAAGCTGTACAGTGTTTATCATAAAGTTCACTATACAGTGTTTATCATTATAAACTGAGGTGTACAATATTTATGGAAACAGATTTATATGCGCAATGTTATCATTTTAAATTGAAACCTCTCATATGATAACAGATTGAGACGTACCATGTTTAAGACATTGAGAGAGAAGGTACAAGAAGCAGAGATCGCTCATGTTGACCCTACCACCATAGTGCTTAGATCTACTAAAAAAAAGTAAGTTCTCTATGTCAATTATCATATATTTAGTATTTAAAGACTGTGATCTTGTTCGGCATAAGGTAATTATATTTTTGGAGGGGAAATTTGCATCACAATAACTATGAAAAGTAGAGTAAACAAATGCAATAATGATAATTAGCTTGACTTCACATAAAAAAAATGAAGAACATCAAAATTTTGATTTCTAGGTGTCAAGCGCTACAGAAATTACGGAATTTTTGTTTTGAATTATTATTTCATATGAGGGGAATGGGGCCCAATTTCAGTCCCAAACAAAGGCCCTATAGAAATTGGAATGTTACATGTATTTGTGTCATTAAGAAATTAGTTTTTGTGTTTCTTAAAAGGTTGAGGTTCTACTAAGGAAGCTTTTCTTTTTATTATCAAAATAATAGTAGTTAGCTCCCTTTGTCTGTACCAACTGTTGAGATTGCGAGTGTAAAATAACAAACTTTAGACATAAACTTTTTGCATTCATGATTTCAGATTAACAGAAACAGCACGTTTGCTACGCAATGTGTTCTCCCGTTCCATGAACAGGGTACCGGCCGGAGACCAACCACGTAAGTTGTTTGATTTATATCGTCATCCAATGTTGTTCTGCCTGAATTTATTAGGTTGTATGTCTATTTCACTGTATTAATATACTTAACTTTTTCTTGATTTATTTCAATAAAATCTGGTACTTGTTTTTTTAATTGTATTGTACAATAGTGTCTTACTGTTTCTTTCACATACACTGCTGTTTGTTATAGATCTATATTTTATTTTATGATTTACAAGATAATGTAATAGATCAGTTTAAGTATTTATTTTTTGGTTATGATTTTTTAGAAGTAATAGGATTTAGTAAGTAAATAGATAGACGTCTGTTACCTTATGTTGTTTGAACATTTCGTAATATGATAATAATTCTGTACTGTTATCTGGAATATAAATATGTGTGTAAAATTTATATCATTGTTTAATCTAGATCTACAACTCTTCCTTTTCTATTTCATCATGTATTCTATCTGTGAATTTATCAGAGAAATTCACAGATATCATATTCAGAATTACATTTTTGTTGTTGTTCCTGTTACATTTTACTAAATTAACCCTTAACCAGCCAGCGGCAACTGAATTAAGTGATGCGATCAGTGCAGACCAAATCTTTGCCATCTGATCATGGTCTGCTTTGGTGTTATTCAGTCAGTACAGTATATTTTCTTAAATTTTCCATAAACATGATGATTAGTTTTGGTCTAGATTGAAAGATAGAAAGGTCCATCTAAGATATTTATAATAATTTCATAATTGTCACCTTAGTGCTGTAACAAGTGAACTTCTTATATAATTTAATAGGACTTAACCCGTTACTGCACTAAAGTGATGATTATTGTGTTTGTTCTTTATTTCATTTTGTTATAAACACAATCATGTTAAAGTCATTAATCATGTTTTTATTATTTATACAATTATGTTAAACTCATCATCATATGAGCCACGTCACGACAAAACCAACATAATGCGTTTGCTACCAGCATGGATCTGGACCAGCCTGTGCATCCGCGCAGTCTGATCAGTATCCATGCTGTTCGCTATCAGCTTCTCTACTTATAATAGGGTTTGTAAGCGAACAGCATGGATCCTGATCAGACTGCGCGGATGAGCAGTCTGGTCTGGATCCATGCTGGTCGTAAACGTATTGCGTTGGTTTTTTTGTGACGCGGCTCATTATTATTTCATTACAACAGCTCCATCACCAACATTATCATGTTAGTATTCCATATTTCCCTCTCTATGTAGCTATAACTTAGATAATGCATTAACAAGGATGTTCATTCAAGTTTTATATAGTGTCCTTAAGTCTAACCTTTAACCTGCTTGAAATAAGGGTAATTAACATTAAATTTTGCCATTCGATATAGAGCTAGGCTAGTCTGCACATATGTGGAGTCTGACCAGGCTCTATACTGTTGGTAGCTCAATTTTTGTTCTTTGATATTGAAATCCATTAAACTTTGAATGAACTATTCCATTGCAAATTTATTACATAAATTCAGCATGTTAAGGGTTGGTTTTACATGATTTAGATAATAGTTTGATATCTGAAAACAAAGGCAGTGCGCGATATATGACTATCCTTCAGTAATGGTTCAAATTGATTAAACACAAAATCTGTAAACCAGTCTAGGAATAAAGTCATACCATTGGTTGAATTTTGAATTGTGTCATGTGCCATCCAATCAAATGCTAGATTTTCTTGACTGGTCTACATATTCAGTAATGAGTACCTTGAAAACTTGGAATTCTTAGTTTTTCTGCATGATTTATATATATTATTCTATATTTATTCTTCTGAATATAGAAATAACAATCATGAATCATTCACAGTGTGTTGTAAAATGATTGGTTCATATCAGGTTTTCAGTTTTATTTGGTACTCACAAATTTTTGTTGTTGCAAGCATTACACCATACAGTTAGCTTATGCTGAACCTAGCCATCAGAAGTTTTGTAAATATTTTATACGCACAATTGTTTAGAAACTTTTGATTATGTATTATAAGTTCTAAATACATTTGGTTTATAGATTTTTCATTGAAAAATGAAATATATATTACATCTTATCAGAAATATAGACAGTCCACATGGTAGTTAAATATCAAAAATATTTCATTAAACAAAAATTACAAAAAAGTTTGTGAGTATACAAATAAAAACTACTCCTGTATTGTGTCTTCCATACAATAAACAAATTAAATTTGAAGCCTCACATGTAAATGATTTAACTATATAATTGGATGCACAGGTGGTTATATTGAGGAAATTCCGTGTGGTAAGTTACCTGGTAAAACAGCATACCATATAGAATTATTATTATACACTTTGAGCTGGGAGCCAAGCATTGTCACACTTTGTGCCTGGAACCAAGCATACAATCTTATTTGTGCTGGGAACCAATCAAACACAATTTGTTTGTGCTGGGAACCAAGCACTCCTAATTTCTTACTACTACTGAATGAACATCATACTGCAAAGTACTAACTGCATCATTTAGAACTATAGCTAAATTATATTAACCCGAAATAGCTTAAATGCTTACAGAGTAGCTTTGCATAACTGCCTGACAATTTTTCCCGCAAAATTTTGTAAAATCACAGTGTAGGCATATTTGATCAACTGATTGACTTTGAAATTTTGTAGAATTTGGTGAAGTGTGTAGTGAACCATTTGCATTTCACATAGCTCAAGTAGTTTTAAGAAATTTAAAGAAATAGAATAAGTTTGATATGCATAGTTGTAGATCTAAACTTACGTATATTGTAATTATTTGTATTTTTAGGGTCAATGTAATGTACTGAAGTTTCATTCATTTGATAGACATCTATCAGTTTTTTTCCTTGGAATCACAAATGATGAAGATCTAGATTTTATATCTTATGTTTGCGGATGAACTTAATAAGAAGAGGATTTTCATGAAATATAACTAAAAACCTACTTAACCAATTGGTTTAGTTTAACTATTTTAACCCTTAAATGTTCAATTAATATAATGGTATAGTCCTGCTTCGAATTTGGAACAGTCCATTCAGAGTTAAAAGGATTTCAGCATCAAAATACAAACATTGAACAATCAACAATATCAAGCATGGTTAGACTGCAAAGATATACACATTGGCCTTGCTCTTATAATACTGGTAGCTGCTTGAAAGGCTTATGGCACCCAATTACAGCAGGCTTAAGGTTAAGCACAATTGTGAAACAATTGTGAAATAAGTACTTACACCTTAAGTAACTCTGCTTCCTGGAACTGACTATCATTGTTGGTCATATGAGGGAACATGGTCTTGACTCAAGTAGGGCTCAAAGCCATGATGCCCTGAGGTTCAGAAACATTCCAAAAGACACCTTAATCATAAGTAAGCTAGTACCCCTAAAATTAGTAAGCAATGATTATTGTAAAATAAAAATTAAAGACTGTGTAATTGTTTTTCTTCATACAGAAAGCAGTGATGTGATTTAATTAAAAAGCTTGCTTATCAATTTGTGTAAGTAAATGTTGGTAAAAAGGGAGATTACTTATACAGATCAAATATAAATTACTAAATGGTAATGGGACTTTAATAACAAAATGTTGTTATGGGAAATATAAACAGTTACTTCAGTGAATGTTTATATAATCACTATTAGGTAAGGGTTGTTTATGTAACTTGTTCAGTACAAAGTCAGGACTGGTACATTTTCAGGGCATTTGAAAGACACTAGGTCATTTCTAATAGTAACAGGGTATGTAATTACCAGCAGGAAAGGCATGTGGGAGAAATAACCAAAAGTAGCTAGTTATAGTTGCTGGTGAATTTACCCAGCTACGAGGTCATAATGAAACTCTAGCATAAGTTTTGGAGAAGTTATAGTGTGCCATAGATTTAAAAAAAAATTCATTCAATTTGGAAGTAGTCAAGGTTAGTTAAATATGCAGATACACTTTAATTATTGTATTATTTCTTTGTTTGGTTACAATGCTTGTAAGTCAAGAGAAAAAGTTACAGAAAGTGTTAGTAATTTAATAGATTTGCTAGAAACTGTAATATGTTTAGGTGTAGGTTTGAATGCTAGGTATAACACAATAGTTAAATTTTTCTTACTCTAATTACCGTAGGTCTTACCAAATGTATGTTCTAAATACGTATTATGTAACCTTCCTGTACAATCATATTTATCAATATCCAAGAAATAAAATTTCTTAGACTTTCTATTGCCTGATTATTGCAGATCTTGCAGGCTTTTGCTTATCTTTTTGATGGCATGACAATTAAAGAAATCTGTTTAAACATTTTTAATTGATATTGGAAGATATTTTATTCAAGAGTTATGTACATATTTATTAAGTTGTCTATTATTAAATTACACAGGGATAGTATTATAGAGCCATATAAGTTACATCGACCATTAAGAGTTACTTGCCTGTATGCCATTGACACCATTTGCAATTTTTAAGGGGATTTTAATCTTGTCTGACTTAATTTGTTTTTTCATCAGTTACCTCCCTTTTTCAATTAAAGCCATTTACAGTATTCAGGGGAGATTAATTTTGGCAAAAATAAATATCTATAATTATGGTAATCAGATTTTTCAATTTTGATATTTAAAAAAATAGATATTTGAAGATTTTTTGTTAAGATTTTGTCAAAATGATGTTCTTTTTTGTGATAGTTTTGAAAATACTAATGATTCATTGATCTGTTTACATTAGTGAGAGTATGAAAAAGGTGATGTATATAATGCATGTTATGGTGATGGTATTGGTAAAAAACTGAGGGAATATATTTTTGGGTTTACTTTGGTATATGTTGTCAACAACAACAACAACTACAATTAAGATTTGTGTTTTTAATGATTATTTGTGCTAAAAAATTAATAATTTGCAATTTTTTTTCCTTCTTATATTTTTTTCAAAATTACCGCAAAGTGAGTTATTTTTTAATTACATGAGTTTTGACAATTTTGTTATTATTTAGCGTAAAATAATAAAGGTGACATCATATTTTCGTGTGTAATTTATTTCATTTTATTTGGATAAAAGCAATTGTTTTGCTTACATGATTCCTATTTCCAAGAAATATTATTTTCATGTTTCCGATTTCCCAAAAATATTATTTTCATGATTCCGATTTCTCAGAAATATTATTGCATTCAAAGTTACTTCTTGATCTTGATTTCATGTTACTTTATGCTTTTTTACATATGATTTTTTTTATTATTCAAATGGAGAAAATATTTTGGTATATAATTATCTAATTAATGTAATATAAACCACAATAATTTTAATGATTAATTAGAGGTATACATAGTTTTACAACAGCATTTTAATAGTTTTGTTACAACAAGGTGACTGTTATGTCTAATAAAAATAATTTCAATAAAAAGCATATTATGACATGTACTTGAATGCCATACATGTGTTTCATAGTGTAAAATGCTATATTGCCAATATAAATGCCATATTTAGTCAATATTCTGCTTTTTTCATCAAATTTATATGCCTTAATTGCCAAATAATTCCATATTTCATTCATATAAATCTTATAAGTCATTAAATTTAAATACCTCTATTGCTTAATAGTGCCATATTTCAAAATCATCTAGTGTTTTTTTAATATCAATTTTAAAAAGTGTCTTAATTGTTTAGTTAAATGCCATATTTCACATTTTTATATGCCCGAAAGGGCATATTATGTTATACCCCCTGGCGTCCGTCTGTCTGTCTGTCTGTCTGTCCGTCCGTCCGTCCGTCCGTACGTACGTCCGTCCGTCCGTCCGTCCGTTAGCAATTTGGTTTCCGGAGCATAACTTAAGTTCCATTTGGCCCACAATGTTAAAACTTCATAGGATGATTGTCCATATTGGGTAGAAGACCCCTATTGATTTTGGGGTCAAAAGGTCAAAGGTCAAGGTCACTATTACCTTAAAACTGAAAACGGTTTCCGGAGCATAACTTAAGTTCCATTCGACCCACAATGTTCAAACTTCATAGGATGATTGTCCATATTGGGAAGAAGACCCCTATTGATTTTGGGGTCACAAGGTCAAAGGTCAAGGTCACTATGACCTTGATACTGAAAACAGTTTCCGGAGCATAACTTAAGTTCCAATTGGCCCACAATGTTCAAACTTCATAGGATGATTGTCCATATTGGGTAGAAGACCCCTATTGATTTTGGGGTCAAAAGGTCAAAGGTCAAGGTCACTATTACCTTATAACTGAAAACAGTTTCCAGAGCATAACTTAAGTTCCATTCGACCCACAATGTTCAAACTTCATAGGATGATTGTCCATATTGGGAAGAAGACCCCTATTGATTTTGGGGTCACAAGGTCAAAGGTCAAGGTCACTATGACCTTGATACTGAAAACAGTTTCCGGAGCATAACTTAAGTTCCAATTGGCCCACAATGTTCAAACTACATAGGATGATTGTCCATATTGGGTAGAAGACCCCTATTGATTTTGGGGTCAAAGGTCAAAGGTCAAGGTCACTATTACCTTATAACTGAAAACAGTTTCCAGAGCATAACTTAAGTTCCATTCGACCCACAATGTTCAAACTTCATAGGATGATTGTCCATATTGGGTAGAAGACCCCTATTGATTTTGGGGTCACAAGGTCAAAGGTGAAGGTCACTATCACATTGATACTGAAAAATATGTTTCCACGCATAACTTAAGTTTCATTTGACCCACAATGTTCAAACTTCATAGGATGATTGTCCATATTGGGTAGAAGACCCCTGTTGATTTTGGGGTCAAAAGGTCAAAGGTGAAGGTCACTATTACCTTGATACTGAAAACAGTTGCCGGAGCATATGTTAAGTTCCATTTGGCCCACAATGTTCAAACTTCATAGGATGATTGTCCATATTGGGTAGAAGACCCCTATTGATTTTGGGGTCAAAAGGTCAACGGTTAAGGTCATCCTTACTAAAAAAAAAATACTTTCGGGCATATAATGCTCCGCCTAGCGGTGCTCTTGTTTTATTGCTTTGATTAACATAAATTTCAAATGCCTAAATTTATTAATATTTATATGCCATATTTCATTGATGTTTATAATGTGCCTTTTCACCAAAGTAAATGCCTTAATTGCAGAAAGATGCCATATTTCATTGATATAAATGCATTTTCACCAATTTGAAAAGCCTAAAATGCTTTGTAATACCATATTTCATCATTTTACATTAACTGTATTCCATATTTGCTTTTAATTGCAGCATATTATCCATTAATCATATCATCATAATTCGGTAGAAGTTGCTAAAACAAGTTTCAAGTTTGTACAACTAACTAACATCATACTGTGTTTCATAATACTGCTCTTTTTCCCCAAATGTTCTATTTCACAATTAAGTGGTGACAAATTTTCTTCACTAATGATTATTTCTAGGCAAAACACAAAGATTTTGATAAAGTCTGTTGTTGACATTTATTGCAACCAATTAAGTTTTACACCATATTAATCATAGTAAACATATTTTGTAATTTCACTAGCTTTTTTAAAAATTGTTTGTCCAAAAGAAGTGGTATGCTTGCATAATTCAAAGATAAAGAAATATGTAGCCAACTTAATAACCTTAAATGTAAATATTTAATTAACTAAGACATAAATTGAATGGGAAGAAAATTTGTGGCACACAATATAGTTGTTCCTTTGACATAATTCAAACAGAATAAACAATAATACTCATATTTTACATGATTTCAGATGGGTTTGCATTCTCACAAGAGGAGCATGGTTCTATTGCTCAGGTAGGGAAACCTTTTCTGCTGCTTTATAATCTATTTTATTAGCTTTACAGCCTAACAATTGGCTGTTTATCTTAAATGTGTGTTACATTTTTAATGCAATGTACAATGTAGCTATCTTAAGCTACATTGTAGCTTACGGAAAGTTGGTGGTTCTACTCAAGACAGAAAGACAAGTTAAGTCTCGTTGCCACATATGACCTTTATAGCATTGGTATGAAAAAAAACACAACAAAAAACCATGTGTAGGTAACAGTATACTTTATCCTAATTGAAGCTGCAATTCTGTTTATTACATTTTCATTGTTGTTTGAGGGTCTCTTGCAAATCTAAGACTATTAATATCAGTATACAAAATTTGAGCTTACAACATTATAGATCCTGGCCAGACAACCTGAATGTGCAGGCTGTCTTGGCTCTAAACTGGTGGCAAAGACTAAGCCCTTTGGGCTACAAAAGCGTTTTTTTTTACCAAAAACAAAACAAGAAAAAACAACATATAACCTTTTGTGTATTGTTTTTCAGGCTGAATTAATCAGAGTGTATGACACAACAAAGGAGAAACCATCGGGACACTAAAATCGAGGGAGACAACTGTTTAATAAATGTAAAAGTGACAAGAGTTATGGCCCATACATAGTGATGTGTGTCATTATGATATTACATAAGACTGAATACTTTACACAATGAAGTTATAAGCAGATGTTAGGGCAAGACAGACTCAGTATACAGCTTTGTTGTAAAGAATGCTTAAAAATCAGAAGCAAAATACTTCTTTCTTGTTGGAGAAAGAATCAGAGGATGTGGAGACTTTCTAAGGTCAAAGGTCATAGGAAAAATTTAAAATGGAAGTTCATGGTGACATTTTTAAGGTGTTTATTAATTACCAGGAATTGAAATATATTTATAGCAGTCATAGTTAACCACATAGAAAGAATGCAGAGTATCCTCCCCTTTTAAGTTGAAAGCAGTTTTGAATACAAAGGTCAAGGTCTTTTACTGTTAAATAAGGCCAAAGTTAGTCATTTTTAAGGACTTAAAAGACCTTTGAACATGGAAATATATGGGTTTTTTCCTATATGTTCTTAATTTCCAGTAAAGATTTTATATGTCAAGTATTATGGGATTTAAACAGCAATGCCATACCTGTTGGAACAGATTCACCATCTACAATTTTAATGACCTTTTGAATTGGTGATAAGTCGGTATAGATTCACCATTAAGAATTTAAAAGACCATTGGAAATGGCTATAAGTTTTATGTTAGTTGTTCATAGGCAAATTGAATTAAATTGTGGCCTTTGATTATTTAGAAATCAAATTTTTGCAGTGATGTTGTTGTTAAGATAGTTATGTGTACAGGTTTTGCTAGCTAATTTTCATTTGCAGACAAAGTTGTAATTTTATTTATTTCATATTGTAACAGAAAATGTCTGCATTGTTAAAGTGAATTGGTCTATAATAGAAGGTCTGTTTTACAAATAGATAATTATGTTGATAATGTCTATTATCAAAACTAGCAACAAACCATGAAATACTTAACATATGGATGTTGTTGGCAAGTATGAGATATGGAACCTGATATACCATGCATTTATATAGCAGATAATAAAATATTCTAGAACAAAATTGTATTATTCACAATATGAATATTCATATTCAATCATTTAGAGCTTTATCAATTTTTTAAGCAATATTTTATAAAAATATCAAAATGATGAATTTCTATTGTTTTCATCAATATTTGAAATACTTATGGAAAATGTGCCCATTGTAGATCAATCCACTTTAATATTATCTTTGAACAGATTTGAGCATAGATAGTTTCTTTAAGTAAGTCACATGTATAGATCATTTTACAATAAGTTGTATATTAACATAGATTGACACTGTTTTTTAGAAAGTTTTTTATCCTGTTTTTGAAAATAAACTCTTTACTGGTTTCAAGTTAAAGAATTTAAGTTATGTTTTACTTGTTACATGTAGTTAAAAGTTTGAAAATTTAAAGGTTGAAAATATTTTAATGTTGAACATATTTGAGACATGATTATTGAGTTGTATGAATATATGTTATAGTGTTTAGATGTGCAATACACAGTTATGTTGAACTGTGCAATATATTTTATGGGTTGTAATTTTCTGTCTCTTTGCTCTGATGTGGTTAGTACTATCAAATTTTAATTGTATGACATAAATGCACAAGATAAATAGTCATTTTAGAGCATGTTAGATGCTTATCACCTGAAGAAAGTAGTGCTGTAAGTGAAATAATTGGCCATTAAATTAGGGAAAATGTAAACAAAATAGTAGTATTTTGACTTCCATACAAAATATTAAAACACTCAACCTGTACTACTTGCCAAACAGCAACAGAAGCAAAAGATAATGCAGGTAATTGGCAAATTAGTGAGTTTTTGGAAACTATAACAGAGCACCACCAATAAAAAAAGCTTTAAAGAAGTACGAATATAGCTTTGCTGGGGAGAATGGACCTTTAAAGCATGGAATACATTTGTTGAGCTAGAAATATTTCTTTGTTAGGATTGAGAAGATTTGTTTTTAGCTCACCTGTCACAAAGTGACAGGGTGAGCTTTTGTGATCACTTTTCGTCCAGCGTCCGTCCGGCCGTCCGTAAACTTTTGCTTTAAATGACATCTCCTCATAAACCACTGAGCCAATTTCATCCAAACTTCACAGGAATGTTCCTTTGGTGGTCACCTTTAAAAATTGTTCAAAGAATTTAATTCCATGCAGAACTCTGGTTGCCATGGCAACGGAAAGAAAAATCTTTAAATATCTTCTTTTAAACAACCCCAAGAGCTAGAGCTTAGATATTTGGCATGAAACATCTTCTAGTGAGTGTCTACCAAGTTTGTTCAAATAAAAGCCCTGGGGTCAAAATTGGCCCCGCCCCAGGGGGTCATTGATTTTCCCTATATGCATATAGTAAAAACTTAAAAAATCTTCTTTTAAAGAACCCAAAGAGCTAGAGCTAAGATATTTAGCATGAAACATCTTCTAGTGAGTGTCTACCAAGTTTGTTCAAATAAAAGCCCTTGGGTCAAAATTGGCCCCGCCCCGGGGGGTCATTGATTTTCCCTATATGCATATAGTAAAAACTTAAAAAATCTTCTTTTAAAGAACCGTAAGAGCTAGAGCTTAGATATTAAGCATGAAACATCTTCTAGTGAATGTCTACCAAGTTTGTTCAAATAAAAGCCCTGGGGTCAAATTGGCCCCGCCCCAGGGGGTCATTGATTTTCCCTATATGCATATAGTAAAAACTTATAAATCTTCTTTTAAAGAACCCAAAGAGCTAGAGCTAAGATATTAAGCATGAAACATCTTCTAGTGAGTGTCTACCAAGTTTGTTCAAATTAAAGCCCTGTGGTCAAAATTGGCCCCACCCCGGGGGGTCATTGATTTTCCCTATATGCATATAGTAAAAACTTAAAAAAATCTTCTTTTAAAGAACCATAAGAGCTAGAGCTTAGATATTTGGCATGAAACATCTTGAATTTGTTCTAGTGAATGTCTACCAAGTTTGTTCAAATAAAAGCCCTGGGGGTCAAAATTGACCCCGCCCCAGGGGGTCATAGATTTTCCCTATATGCATATAGTAAAAACTTAAAAAATCTTCTTTTAAAGAACCCAAAGAGCTAGAGCTAAGATATTTAGCATGAAACATCTTCTAATAAGTGTCTACCAAGTTTGTTCAAATAAAAGCCCTTGGGTCAAAACTGGCCCCGCCCAAAGGGGGTCATTGATTTTCCCTATATGCATATATAGTAATAACTTAAAAAATCTTCTTTTAAAGAACTCAAAGAGCTAGAGCTAAGATATTTAGCATTAAACATGTTCTAATGGGTGTCTACCAAGTATGTTCAAATAAAAGCCCCGGGGTCAAAACTGGCCCCGCCCGGGGGGGGGGGGGGGGTCATTGATTTTCCTTATATGTGTATAGCAAAAACTTAAAAAATCTTCTTTTAAAGAACTCAAAGAGCTAGAGTTTAGATATTGAGCATGAAACATCTTTAAGTAAATATCTACAAAGTTTGTTCAAATAAAAGCCCGGGGGTCAAAACTGGCCCTGCCCCAGGGGTGTCATTGTTTTTAACTATATGTGTATAGTAAAAACTTTAAAAATCTTCTTTTAAAAAACCCAATGAGCTAGAAATTAGATGTTTAGCATGAAACATCTTCTTATGGGTGTCTACCAAGTCTGTTCAAATAAACAAATAAAAGCCCTTGGGTAAAAATTGGCCCGGGGGTGGGGGGGCCTATATACAGGTGAGCGACCTCAGGGCCATCATGGCCCTCTTGTTATTTATTTTCTCAGTAAAATTGACTATATCCATATAAAATTGACTGAAGTGTTTTGAGGCTTTGCATGAGATTATAATATTTTTGTTTCAGTCTGACATAAACCTATGTGTTGTGATGTTTTTTTAAAGGTTAAAGAAATTGAAAATAAAGTAGTGTTTTTTTCTTATAATACTAATCAATAGGTTTCTAATTAAAGAAATGAATGAAATGATTTAAGATATGTATGATATATTATGTCTGACATTATGTCAGGCTTTGTTGTGATGTCTGTTGTGAATCTACAATCATTTTCATTCAATAATAATGTTGAATGAGTCTGACATAAATCAATATTTATTATTTAGTCTGACATAAGTCACAGACATTTTTTCAAAAAAACAAGAATTGACATTTAGTATTTTTCTGTTTGGTCTTACACTTTATAAAATCATTCATTTTTCAGCAACAAAACAAAAAACAACAGGTGTGTCATTAAGGGTTCCTTTCTATTAAATGTATTTTATTATTTGAGTGACATTATGCTCATTTTTTTGCTGTCACGTTGAGTTGAATTTGTAATTTATTTATAAATGGTGATTGACCAATAATTGACAATAAAAATGTTGTATGATTCAATATGAAAACGACCTTTATAATTAAAAAAGACTGCCCCTTTCTCTTTAAAAATTTAATGTTACGTTACATCCTAAACAACATTTTTAGATTCCCATTGTTCACATTGATTTTTGATTATTTTTTCATAGTAAAATTGACCTAAAATATGGCAAAATATCATCTTATTTTGATTTTTACCTGTCCACTCACAATTCACAGATAGGCAGAATGTTACTTGATACTTCTGATCAGATATTTATTAATAATTGTAAAGTTAACTTAAACAGATATGACGTGAAGCAGGTGTGGTTAGATCTGATATAAGAGGTCCGATGTAGGTGATCCAATATAAGTAAATGATTTGATATTGATGCAAATTAAATAAAAGTGGTCAAACATAAAGTATTTGTTATTAGGTCTGGCATAAATTAATACTTTACTCTGTATGTAAATGGAAAAGGAGTTCAATGGGACCAAAATATTTTATTTGTGCTATTATTTTTGTATATTATTAATAAATTGATATTTTTTTGTAAAGAAAACTAAACACTTTAAATAAATATAAGTCGATACAGCGCCCTAAGGTTGTTTTTTTAAAACATGTTTTACAGTCTAATTGCACCAAAAATGTCATTTTTATGATCAAAAGAAAAGTGATCGATAATGCTTATCAAAAACTTTTATTTTTTATTTTTAATATACCATTTTGTTTACATACATATTGTTTTTGTATTTGAAATTCTATTTTAGTCAGAATGAAATCAGAAATCTTTATCTGCAGAAAAAACAACATTGTTATTGGGAATTTTGTTTTTGTCTTGTCTGACTGGCTGCATCACTGGCTTTTAACTTTAATTTTTTGTTGTACAATTTTCACTCTATTAGTGTATTAACTTGAGGCTTCATACTGAAATTTAGCATGCTACTTGACCAGTGCATCTCTGTATATTAGTGGTATATTGCACAGATTCTATAAAATAACTTTTGATCTCCTGGGTTATTATGATTTGTCTTTAGTTTAATTAACAGAATATGGATAAATGTATGAGTTTTTGTGTTCTACAGTTATATCTTGTTGATGCTAAAAGGTTGTTGCAAATTTCTTGTTGCTAGTCATTGTCTTGTGGCCTGTCTTTCTGTCCGTCTGTCTGTAATGTGATAGTGATTGGTATATTCTTTTTATTTTTTTATTTTTTTGGAAATCAGTATTTATCTATGTACGGGTGTTGTAATGTATGGATGGAAATTTCAGGTAAAGTGTCAGTCACATCACGTTAATCAGGATATATTGTATGAAAAGATCATGCTTGAATAAGGTCATTTGGATTTGTTACATCATATTAAAAGGTCACATAATATTTATGGACATGGGAGAATATAACATGTTGTTTGAAATTTATACATCATATAAAGTGGTTGCGTATGTACAAGGTCATGTGACGAGGTAGATATAGATAAGAATTATTAAAGAAGGTTCTTTCCCGTATAATAAATAATGTTACATGTTCCATCTAAAGATATGTTATTCTGTCACACTGTATTTGATAACACCTGTTGATACTGAACAATATAGAACGATTAATTTAAAAAGCCATTACAGTGCAACCAGTATGTCCAGATTATTACATGATCGTTTTAACAGTATTTGAAGATTTAATTTTCTTGTGTTTTCAACGTTTTGATACCATATAATTTCACAGCTGTCAAATGTTAAACAGGTGTCTGTAGTGCGAGTGTATGTATATCTGCACATATGTATGTACTGTGTAAAAAGGAAAAAATATAAGGATGTATATGTACCAAAACTATATATGTATCAATAAATATTCACTTGAGATAACTTATTTAACAGTGTTATTCATGGCTCATTTTATATGATTATCATTCTATCTTCGACTTCATGATTAAAATGCTAACTATTATCCTTGATATAGCAAAATAAAACAAAATACTTATGTATATTTTACCAAAATTTTATTTTCATCTTTACTGTAGACATTTAGTTCTTACATTCTGTTTAGAATCAAAACAACAATTTTTTATGGAATTAATTTTTGTTATGTTGATGTAACTCTTTGTGACTCTTTTTGCTCAAAATTGTATGATTATATATTTATTTGATAACATATTTACATAGATGGATTTTCTTAACTTATATAGTATTTAGTTTTGTCTGAGATGTGTTTGGGAGTCTGTTTCTTTTCTTTGAATGAAACCAGGAGTACTTTATGAATTAGAATATGTATGTAATTTAAATGAAAAAAATACATGTAAATGGTAAATTGCAAAAAACAAAACAACAAAAACTCTGTGTTCTTCAAAATTGTCTTACTGTTCTGTGAAATAATACCTTCGTTCATGTTTTGTTACAGACCTTCCAAAGCTCTTTGGAATAAGAAGGTAATATAATCGTAAATTATAATTCATTTTTCACCAGGAGTTAGAACATTGGGACAGTGTCAGGGTGTACTAGTATATGAGTACACAGGGTCAGCATATATATTTTTAGCGACAATCGTATACCTATTTTAGAATTTAGGTTTACTTGTTTAGAACCTGGTTTTGAAATTAAGTTTTGAAAAAATGTTAAAAAAATCCTTGTATTATTACTATTTTTGTATGCTTGTGTGGTGATTCCTATTTGGAGATATACTTCTCTCTAGTAATCAACATAATATTAACAGTTTTAATTTGCCAGATGTAACCTACTTTTTCAGCTTAACTTTACATCAAAATGGAAAAAAAAAAATATCTATTTAACACTGCAAATGTTTCAGCCCATGGGATCAGATATGATTAACTTCTGATTAACTTAAACGCAATCCGACAAAAAATATTTTAATTCTCTGAAAAATCTTAACTTCACGACGTCCAGATGATTAAAAAAAACCCGACAGCTCAGTATTTATATATGTATGGGTTCTGCTGTGTTTGTTTGTAAAGATCCTCTGTTTTCTTCATTTAAACTTTATGTCTTGAAAACTAGTCATTTTGTTTGTTTCATAAATCAGAATAAAAGACGATAAGATATAAAGTTAAAAAAAGAAGACAATTTTATAAATTTTCTTATTATGTATACTGTACCACTGTTGTTGATTTTTCCAAAGTTGTCATAAAAATTGAGTGTATCTGTACATGTTAAATCAACATATTTTACGTTTGTCATATTCATATATTGATGTCCATTATTTCAAGTATTATAATGTCTTTTATGATTTATAATTTTTCTATCCATGTATGGAATATGTGGTATTGTTTGAGATTAAATTTCCTATCTACCTACGTATAAAACATGTTGTTTTGTTAAAATTGAAAACCCAAGAAATATATTGATTTGTTTATTTCAAGAATTCTATCCTCATGTTTAATTGTTTGCCTTCTTTAAGATTAGATTTCCTACCTACCTATGAAATACTGGGTCATAATTAGTTTAAACTAAATTTATCAATCCATGAAACACTTGGTCTTTTTTTTAGTGTAAACTTTCTATCTAATTCTTGTTTGAGTTTAAACTTCTTACTGAGTCGTGGAAAAAAATGTAAATTAAACAATTGGTAAAACAATAATGCTTGTTGTTCTTCTGAAAATATTTTAACTTGAACTTAAGAGCTGAATTTTATTTTTTATGTTTTGTAATTATTTTGATGATTTAGTTCATCAAAGAGCTAAGCATGAAGTTAGCTTTTAAACCTAAGCTAACTAATAGAACTTTATAAAAACAATTACTCAAGCATTATACGTCAATTCCTTGAACAAGCATGAAATAAAGCTATTGATATGTTTCAGTTCCGACCGTTTTTTAAAAGATCTTTTTTTTTTCTCTATCAGTAAGCCTTATGTGTATGTTTTGTATTGCTCTACAGTATATTTGTTGATGACTATGTGGAAGTTACTGATTTAATATTTGCTTGAAAAATTGTTATTGAAAGTTTTATGACTGTAGAAATATCTAGAAATTGTTTGAATTTCTTAACTCTGTTAGACATGAAAATTTGGATAATTTAAAAAACTTTAGAGATTTTTGGGTTTTCCCTTTTAATTATTTTGAAAATTTAATTTTTTTGTCTATCCCTTTAAATTAAAAAATATGGGGAACCCCTTTTGCATAACTTTTTTTTAAAAATGGTGCTGATAAAAAATATTAAAAATAAAGGTTTATCTAAAATCCTTTTTTATCAACTCCGTTGTTTTAAAATTTTAACTTGTGTTTTTGATTTTTAAAAAAGGGTTTTCCGAAGAAAACTCATTTTTATTTGACTTATTTTGCCAAGGGAACAAGGGTTTTTGAAATTTTGAAATCAGATTCAAAAACAGTAATGTTTTCATTACCCTTACCATTTAATAAAATTTTGATGTAAAAAGTAGACGTTCTTTGGGATTTTTTTCTTCCCCAAACCCGATCTTCCCCCGACCTTTTTCAGGAAATCATTAAATTTTAAAACAAAAGCAAAAAAGCTTGAAGCAAAGACAATTTTCAAATCGGGTATGCTCCCGGGTTTCCGGGAAAGGGGTGCACAATGTCTATTACAAAAATTGAAAAGTTTA